CCCCCGGGTGGGCGTCCCGGGATCCTGGCTGTAGCGGCCGATGCTGCTGGCGCTGGGGGCTGGGCTTGTCGCGCTTGAGGAACTGCATGCCGGGCGTGGGCGTGGGGATGCCGGCGGGCGGAGGGCGGCACCGCGTGCAGTAGAAGTCGACGTTGGCCCAGTCGCGGTTCTTCTTGCGGCCGAGGACGTGGCGGTCAAACTTGTTCCAGCAGCGGACGTGCTGCCAGACGCCGCATGTCTCGCAGCACACGATCTCCTTGCCCTCGTCTGGCGGGTTGATGCCGGCCTTGCCGCATACCTCGCAGTTGAGCTCCCAGTTCTCCTCTTCGTCGTCCTCGGCCGCGGCCGCTGCTGCGTCGCCGAGACTCGGCGTGCCGCGCTGGGCGGGCTCGGGCGTCGCGGTGGCCTCCTCTGGCGGCGGGATGCCGCCGTTGGCATTGATCTCCTCGCGCCGCCGCTTCCTCTCCTCGCGGTCCCGCTCGCGCCGCTCGCGCTCGATCTCTTCGCGGATGGCGCGCTCCTCGGCCTCGCGCTCGCGTGCGTGGATGCGCTCCTCCCTCTCGCGGATGCGGTCCTCGCGCGACCTCTGCGCCTTGGCCTCCTCCTCCTCCCGCGCCCGCTTCTCCTCGTCCTCCTGCCGCAGCCGCGCCATCTTCTCCTCCATCCTCGCTCGCGCCTCGCGGTCTCGTTCCCGCTCCTCGCGCTCCGACTCCTTGAGCGCGATGCGGCTCGAGCGCTTGCGGTTGGCCAGCGCCGCCTCGAGCGCGCGCTGGCGGTCCTGCTCGTCAAAGGCGGCGAGCACCGTGGGCAGGATGTCGTGGTTGACAAACGAGTGCAGGTTGCGCTCGTTGAGGTCCTTTGACTTGGCAAAGCGCGCCGCAAACTCGAGCCAGTCGGCGCGGGTGATGACGATCTGCGCGGTGGGCGGGGGCGACGGTAGGTCGGGCGTAGCCGGAGCGACATTCAGCTGGTATCCGCTGCAAAGCCGTGAGGCGGGCGGACGCAGTGTACTCACCGTCTCGAACTCGATCCAGCCGTCCTCGTCGGCCTCCGGGTCGTCCGCCTGAGCAGCGTCGGCCACGCCGTCATCGACCTCGGCCGCCGCTTTTGTGCCAGCCTTGGCATCCTCGCCTTCCTCCCTGACGTCTTCGACTTCTATGGCGACCGCCGGCTCGGCTTCTTCCGCCCCATCTTGTGCCGCCTCGGCTTCTTCGGGCTTGGCGTCCTGGTCATCGTCCGGCGGGTCGCTAAGCTCTGAGTCGCTGCTCGAGCCAAATTCTCCGCCCCTACTGAAGCGCGCCGAGGTGCGCGTGCCTCGCCTCGGTGGTTGCCGCGCGAGCACCTTGCCGTGGTCGCCTCGCCCCCTCTTGCTCGGGGTTGGCGAGCCGCTGTCCGACTCGACCTCGCTGACTCGCCCTCGCTTCCGAGGACTGGACCGGCTGCCGCTCGCCGGTGTCGCTGTGGCTGCCTTCTTCGCCGCTGATCTGGAAGGCGTCGACTTGGCGGCGGCGGCGGCTCGTTTGGCGGCCGCAGCTTCCGCGCGAGCCCGCTTGGAGCCCTTCTTTGCGGGCGGTCGAGCCTTTGCAGCGGGCTGGGGAGGAGGGGGCGCCGGTCGCTGGATCCAGATGCGATTGTCGTCGAAGAGCCAGTAGGCGTTGTCCTCGGCGTCCCAGCCGATCGGCGAGACCCTCTGCAGACGGGCAGGAGAGAACACAGAGGCGGATTGAGGGTCAGCCAGCAATAGCGGACCGGCAAGTCGAAAAGGGGGGCGGCCTCAGCCGGGCGCGGACAACACTCACCCAGGTCGTCGTATCTTCCTCAGACTTGACGAGCTTGCGGAATCTCTCGGGGTCCTGGAGCTGCCACTCGCACAAGTTGTGCAGGCAGGTGATCTGTAGGGGGTCGGGCAAGACGCAGGGATCAGCGTGCGTCGGCGTGCGGCTGCACTGCAGCGCTGGCTGCGTACCTTGTCGTCGAGCGAGAGCCTGTCCCAGCCACGCGGCTCCTCGGCGGTGCCAAAGGGGTTCCCTTCGGGGTCGCGTGCGAGGTACTGAAGCCGCAGATGCTCCTGCCAGTTGGAGAGTCTGGTTGGCGCGCCAAGTTCGACGGGGTTGTAGAGCGACGGTCAGCGCGGCCACGGCGGACGGGTGGAGCGCTGCCCGAGGGGTGGCGCGAGCCCGGGCGACACTCACTCGATCTTGCGGTCCAGCGTAAGCGTGTAGAGCAGCCGCTTCATGAGGTCTGGGATGACTTCGCTCTCGGGCCCTGCAAAGTCGTTTTCGAGGCTCTGCGAGGCGTGCGAGACGGGTCGACGGGTCGGCGCCGGGGAGGCGGGAGGGCAAGAGTGAGCCGGCCGGGCTCTCTACATGCGCCGGTGCGTTGCCGACTCACCTCGGTCTCGAAGCCGGACATGCCGAACGCCTCGTCAAAGACAAAGAGGAACTGGCACACTGCGGCAAACTTCCAGGATCGGCGCAGCCGCCGGGCGATGGGATGCGGCGGTGGCGGCGCCAGGGCTGCCGTGGCAGACGTCGAGGCAGCCGCCGTCGGCTGAGCGCGTCTCGGCATGCTGGCGAGGCGCGTGTTGCTGCTCAGGGCGTGCGGTGGGTGGCGACAGGGGCGTTGCCGTTCCGGGTCGTGCCGGGATGGTGTCGGACGGTGCGATCCGACGGGCTGTGCTGGTCTAGCGATGGCAGTGGTGGAGCGTCGCGCTGAAGCAGAACGACGGGATTGAGCCGCACTCCGCGAACACGAGCGCGGACGTGCGAGCCTGCCGTGCCGTGGCCGCTATGCCGAGCGGAAGAAGTCGAATCGGTGGGTCTCCCCGGCACGCTCTCGCCCCGGATGCCCAAAGAGAGGGAAGTGTGTCGGAGGGCGGGAGGCAGTAGGTGGCTGCTGTTCCGCCGAGGTGCGGAGCAGAGCGGCCGCAGCAGAGAAGTCGGCGGCGTGCTCCTGTCGATGTGCGAAGGAGCGGAAGGGCTGGCAGAAGCGGCGGGCGGGCGGCGATGGCAGAGCGAAGGTTGAGCACGACGTGGAGCGGGAAGAAGAGGCGCCTGCAAAGTGGAGCACGACCAGTCACGACACGCAAGAAATGCGGGCAGGTCGGCCGGCTGCCTGGCGACGAGGCCCCGAGGCAGGCGAGCTGAGGCGGGCAGACAAGGCAGATGGCCAGACGACCTGGAATCGCGGCCTTGTGGCAGGCGGGCCAGCTGAGGCCTGCCAATCGGGCAGCCATGCAGGCCGGACCTGGCTTGTCGCCCGAGACGCTCGCTCCGTCAATCAGCATCAGCATCAGCGGCACCATCATCATCATCGCCGCTTCGCCTCTCACGTGGCTGGGCTCGAACCGCAGTGTCGGAAAGGAAGGATGAGGAGCAGAGGCTACAATTACAGGCCGGCGATGCCGACGAGGTGGGTCCGCAGAGAAGCGAGGGCAGTGTTGGTACAGGGCCTAGGAGCAAGCCGACGCGCGAAAGACGGGCGGTGCCGATCAGGCGGGTAGGCAGGGTGGGGAGCGGAATACAGAGCGTAAGCAAGAGCAGGGCCGAGGCGGCCGTGCTTCTCTATCGTCTGGCTGTCGCTGCCGTCGAAGCTGCCGCCGCGGCCGAGCCGGGCCCACTGGCGATACGAGGCCCCTTGATCCTGTGATGGGCGAGTGGCCGGTTGAGCTCGCCCTTTGCCTTGCACTTGTACAGGAAGCCCACCACGACCTCGCCCTCCTTTGGCGTAGGCTGGCTGGCAAAGTGCTTGGCCGCCACCTGGCTCAGATAGAGGCTGGCGGCGTCGGCGTCGAAAAAGTGAGGCGGACACGGCGGATCGTCCTCGGCGGCGGCGGCAGCGGCCGCTGCTGTTGATGTTGATGCCTTGGTACCGTTGGAAGAGCCCGGGTTGTCGAGCGCGGCTGCGTCTGCGGTCCTCTTGCGGCTACCGGACAGGGAGGGTGCGGGCGAGACGTTGCGGGTGGAGCCGCGCCGCCCCTTTTGCGAGGACAAGGATGTGCCGCCGGACGAAGACTGGGTAGTATCCGGCGGCGGATAGGTCTGGGCGAGGTCGTAGTACGAGATGTACGAGTGCAGAGCGGACGCCGGTATCGAGGCAAAGTCGACGAAGGCTTTGGGCGGGAGAGGGGGGCCCAGCCACGAAGGAATGCCAGGAAGAGGGGACGAATCAGCGCAGTCCGGATGGCATCGAAGATGGACGATGCTGCGAAGATGGGGTGTACTCACGTTTGTCTGCATCGTCGGCGGCGGCCTTTGTGGCTGCCTTTGCGGCTTTGGCGTCGGTCGAGGCGCTCATGGTGGATGTGGGCGAGCGGGAGCGGTCGAGTTGGCCAGGCTGTGCTCGGTAGACGATGTGATGCCGGCAAGGGCCGAAGGATGAGCACTCGAGTAGTTGAACGGAGGGGTGGAGGATGGTAGCGGAGTGACTTTTGCGAGCCAGAGAGGGCCCCATGATGGCACCGGCCCAGCGAGAGGCGAGGCAGGCCAGGCCTGGCAAGGTCCAGGTCAGACCTGCTTGCCAGGCCTTGCAGGCGTTGCGTGTGTCGGGGTGTGTGCCAGGTCGGCCAGGTCGAGGCGGCATTTCCGGCTCCCGACCAAAGACGGGCGGCAGGTGGAGCGTCGGTTGCCCCGATCTCGGGCCCGGCCGATGCAAGTTGCTCGCAGGCGGGACGGCGGGCGGGCTCAGAAGCCTGGGCAACGGCAGACCCGGTGGCTGCCAGTCGGGCAGGCGGGGCGGCGACCGGCGCCGCTGTCCGCTGTCCGGGACAGTCGGTCAATTCGCGGCCACCCCTTTGCTGCGCAGCCACGCCAAGCGCCCTAAGTTACCTCCCCTCTCGACTGGCGCCATCGCCCTTCTGTTGCCCGTCGGCTTGCCTGTCCCTCTGCGTTTTGACTCTTCCTGACGCTTGGTGTCTGCCGTCAAAGTCGCCGCGGCAGGCAGGCCTGACAAAGAGGTCCAACGACAAGAGATGAGCCTAGGGGCCCTGCCTGCTTGGCCAGGCCTTCCCTGCCTCGTCCCCTCGGAAGATTGGCGCCCTCTCTCGGGAACTGCTCGGCGTGCAACCTAGTCTGGTCCGCTTCCTTGCCACGCTCCACCACTCAGGCCCGGTCCTGATCCACCGACGCCTTCCGTGGTTCCCCGCACTCGTTCGTCGACCATGACGCCCCCCGCACCTCGCCCGCAGGACCCGGGCCAGAGCCAGGGCCAGGCCGGGCGCTCTCTGACGCTATGCTGCACCACTGTCCACGATAGCAGCCTGCATGCCGTATAAGTACAAGACCGCACCAGGAGGTCCCGACCATCACGCTCGCCCCCGCCTCGACCCCGCGCTTGCTCCCTACCTGCTTGTCCCCCCTCTTCCCTCTTAGCAGCCACCCGCATCCCTCCATTTCGACAGCGGCACACGGCCTCCGCATCGCCACCATGACCTGGCAGAACATGTCGGCCTCGGCCTCGTCGTCGGGCGCCTCGTCGTCTTCGTCGACGCTGCTCGAGCTCTCGCTGCCCTCGGCCACCGAGTTCGCCCTCTACTACCTCCCACCCCTCACCCTCATCTGGCTGCTGCTGCGCTACCGCAACACGGCCTTCGGCTCGCGCAAGCCCATCCCGCGCATCACGACCGACCCGGCGCAAAAGTGGCCAAAGGGCCCGCCCGGCTCGCTCCTCCTCGGCAACCAGGGCCAGCTCAACGCCAACGCCCACCGCTACCTCGACCAGTTCCTCGAGTGGCGCCGCCAGTACGGCCTGGGCTACGAGCTCACCATCCCCGGCCACCGCATCATCGAGGCCAACCACCCGACCTGGCTCGAGCACTTCCAAAAGACGGCCTTCAACTGCTACGGCAAGGCGCACCTCATCGCCACCAACGGCGAGCTCCAGCGGACCGGCATCTTTACCTCGGACGGCCATGCCTGGATGACGCAGCGAAAGGCGGCAACCCACGCCTTCTCCCGCAACCACTTCAAGGGCCCCATCTCGGACAAGCTGCACCAGCACCTCGACATCCTCATCGACCTCCTCGACAACCTCGCCGCCACGGGCGAAAAGTTCGACTTCCAGGACGTCATGGCGCGCTACACGATGCTCCTCTCGATGAGCATCGCCTTTTCGACCCACTCGACGCTGGCGCCCTCGTTTACCTCGGACCCGCGCTGCCTCGACGGCCGGTACGACTTTGTCGACGGCTTCGACAACGCGTCGCCCCTCATCGACAAGCGCACGCGCAACTCGCTCTGGAAGCTCACGGAAAAGTTTGACGCGTCGGCAAAGGAGCAGGTCGACGGCGCCATCAAGGCCATCTACGCCTTTATCGAGCCGCTGTGCAAGAAGCGCGTCGCCGAGGTCAAGCCGGGCACCAAGAACAAGGAGGGCGACATCCTCGACCTCTTCCTCGAGCAGGAGCGCGACCCGTGGGTGCTGGCCGGCTGGATGGTCAACATCCTCTTTGCCGGGCGCGACACGACGGCCTTCTCGATCTCGTGGCTGCTCTACGAGCTGATCGCACCGCAGAACGGCAGCAAGGGCATGATGCAGAAGGCGCGCGACGAGATCGAGTCCAACGGCCTCTCGCTCCAGGCGTCGGTCGGCGACGACCACTCGGGCGCCGCGCGCACCTACCTCGACTACGACGACCAGAAGAACCTGACCTACCTCAACGCGCTCTGGATGGAGACGATCCGCATCCACCCGGCCTCGGCGCGCGGCATGTCGATCTGCTACGAGGACAACACGCTGCCCGCCATCCCCGCCATCAACCAGCCGGCGGTGCAGGTGAAAAAGGGCGACCTCGTCATGTGGCAGGATTGGGTGCTGGCGCGCCTGCCGTCGATCTGGGGCGACGACTGCGAGGAGTTCGTGCCGGAGCGCTTCGTCGATGCCGACACCAACTCGATCAAGCCCATCTCGCTGTGGAAGTTCCACGGCTTCAACGCCGGCCCGCGCACCTGCCTCGGCAAGAACCTCGCCACCTTTGACGCCCTCGCCGTCCTCGCCGCCACCCTGGACCGCTACGACTTTGAGCTGGTCGACAAGAACCAGCAGGTCAACTACACCACTGGCATGAACATGGGCATCAAGGAAGGTCTCTGGGTCACCGTCAAGAGGAGGTAGCGGCGAGGCCCCCTCCCCGGCTCCACGCGCTCCTTTTCTTCTTCATCGCGTCTCGTCTCGTCTCGTCTCTTGCTTCCTTCTCGCCTCCTCTTGCCTCGTCGTTGGGGATTCGCATAGAGTCATTGGTCCCGCCGTCGGCGTCCACGACCCCATATCCAGTCCACCGTCCTGTAGACGGCCCAAAACCCCCCCTGATAGCAACGCACCCGCATCGTCCCTCGTCCCCGCGCATCTCCCTCTCTTTCCCGCCCCTCCCGCCTCTTGCCCTGTAACGATACCGTACGAATTCGAGCAGCTCTTCTCCGGACCATGAGGCCTTACAGCATGTTGGAATCGATTGTCTATGCCGGCAGCAATTGTGTGTTGTGACAAGGCGCGGACCGCGCGCTCGCCCCAGAGGAGGAGACCTAGGAGTCAAGAGGATGGGGCGAGTGTGTAGAAGTACAGAGAGGCCGTCCGCCCGCGGGGGCGCGCCCGCTCGCAAAGGGCTGGACAAAGAGACAAGGGGGCATGGCGACATCTATAGGCAGGGTGAAGCGTGCGAAGCACGAGCGCGTGCAATCGACGGATGCCGGATGGTGGCAGGCAGCCGGCAGGATGGTGGTGACTTCGACCACGAGGCAGCGCAGGTCGCTGTCAAGCGCCGTGCAGGAGGTTCTCGGCGTACTGCAGTGTCACGGGCTGAAGCGGCAGCGCAAGGTCAAGGGAGTAGAGGCGATCGGGTCAGCGACACTACGCAAAGCATGCTTCCGACTCCTTCCGGCCCATTCCGCGCTGGTCTACTCACCTTGGCGGGCAACCGGCGGTGCTCGTCGTTGTGCCTGGGCTTCGGCGCCGTGTCGAGCGTGTACCGTGTCCCGCTGGCGTCGACTGCCTCGTGGCCCTCCATCGAGAGGAGCCACAAGGCCACGGCCACCTTGACGCCCACCCGGGCGAAGCGGATGCCCGGGCACGGGTGCCGGCCGACGCCAAACGCGCCAAACTCGTCCTTGCCGCTGCCTTCGCCGCGGGCCCACCGCGACGGGTCATACCGCGTCGGGTCCGAGTAGATGGTGGGGTTGTAGTGCAACGACGACAGCCAGAAGGCGGCAAAATCCTTATCCTCGAGGCGCCGCCCGCTCAGGCGCAGCTCGGGCTCCTTGGCGTCGAGCTCGGGGTCGGGGCGGAAGCGGCGGACGAGGAGGTCCGAGATGAGGAGGCGCGACGTCTCCTTGACGCAGTCGTCGAGCAGCGGCAGCTTGTCGTCCCACGTCGAGAGCGGGATCGACTTGAGCGCGCGCCGCAGGCCCTCGCTGCCTTCGTTGGCCACCACCTCGGCCACGTCGAGGTCGAGCGCCGACACCACCTCGGCCTTGACCTGGGCCAGCAGCTCGGGCGACGATCCGAGAAAGATGAGCGTGTAGCTGCTCAGCGCACCCGGATTGGCCACGCCGCCGACGAGCGAGCCGAGGACAAAGTCGCGCACCTCGTTGCGGGGTACGCCGCGGCGCATCATGTCCTGGATGTAGTCGTCGTGCTCGACGCCCGTGCGCTCGCGCGCCTTGAGCAGCCTCGACACCTCGACCGACAGGCGCAGCCCGGCCAGCAGCCGCTTGACCGACCACGGCGTCGGGATAAAGGGGAACTGAGTCGTCAGGAAGCTGTTGGACGTCTCGGCCACCTGCATGGTCCAGTCGTTGATCCTGTCCATCGTGGCAAAGTCCTTGGTGTGCTCCGACAGGCCAAACATGCGGATCACCATGCGGAACATGATCTGCGGGCGGCCGGGCAGGTGGGCAGGTGGGAAGAGGGCCAGTGTAGACGGTTGCGTGGTCAGCGTGCTGCGCCTCTGCAGTACGTCAATGGCACCTCTCGGCTTGGCAAGCAGGCCACTCACCGGGTAGATGACATCGTGGGTGTGGACGCCGGCGCCCGCCTTGGGCAGCATGCACAGCTGGGTGACGACGTCGTCAATCATGTGAGGGATCTTGCCGGCGATCCTCTCGGAGCTGGTCGAGTCCTTGATGGCGGCGACGGCGCGACGGCCTCGCCTCTGGAAGAGGGCGTCGGGCAGCACGCCGCTGATCCACTCGGGCAGGTCGGGCACGGCGGTAAACAGGACGAGGTAGGCTTCGGTGAGGTGGAGCCTGCGGTCGTTTGCAAAGGTGGCGGCGTCGCTCGCGTTGGCGGTGATGGTGACGCGGTAGCGGTTGACGCCGAACGTGGTGTTGAGGCGGTCTGCAGCGCGAGAGAGGAGACGGTGTGGCGGGCCAAAGAGGCGGAGCAGGAAGTCTTCGCGGTCGCTGTAGAGCCATACTGACGCCAGCGGCCCGGCCAAGACGGAGCTGGTGGCCTTGTCGGCGTGCGAGGCAGAGCGGCCGGCGACAAAGGACCAGACGGCGGAGAGGGCGACGACCGAGACGATGCAGCCGGCGTAGAGCGTCCAGCTGGACGCCATGGCCGATGGCGAGAGCCTGTCGAGGGCCAGCATGGTGGATCCGCGAGCTGGTAGGCCGTCGAGGGAGAGGTCGGTGGATCGGCTGGCGGCCGATGGATGGCCACGAGGCCCGGTGGCGAGGTCAGAGAAGCTCGATGGGTGAGCCCGAGGTGGTAGACGTCAACCCAAGGGATGGCAAGCAGCCGAACGTCCAAGGGGCGGAGGGAGGGACGGGGGAGCAACGACGTGGCAGAGAGGTGCTAAACGGCGGGGAGAGGGCGCTAGGTCATGACAGCCGGCACGGATTTAAAGGCGGGCCAGCAGGTGTCTCGGAGTGAGCCCACAGGTGGTAGGCTAGCAAGGCGCTGCACCTAGTGCGTGTTGCGGGTTGCCGGTAGGGCCGGGTCGGTGGTGGTGGTGGTGGTGGAGTACAACGAAGGGAGGTAGGAAGGCTGGGGGAAAGGGCCGTGGCGACTAGGATCAAGCGAGGCCAAGGAACGCTCCTCTCCGAGAATGGCCGCAGAGCCCCTCCTTCTGGCAGCCAAGACCCGTCGGGCTGCGAAGCGTGGCCTGCCTGCCCTTTCGCGCTCGACAAGGCCCTACATGATGACGGTGCGAGCTTTCTTGGGTCGTTGGATGGGCCCAAAGAGGGGGGCCCACGGTCTAGCCGAAACAGAGAGCCAGCGAGCAAGCAAGCAGCGGCACTTCGCGCCCGTGGGGGGCCCTAGCTTCGTTTTGATCCGCTGCATGAAAGGCGAGCAGGCGGAGGAATAGATAGAGAGAGAGACGTATGTACGCTGCTGGCTTGCTTGCTTGCTTGCTTGCTTGCCCATCGTCGCCCCAGGCTAGGCCAGGCCAAGCCAAGCGCCGACCACGCCAGGCTAGGCCGCCGCATGACAAGCAAGCAAGCGAAGAGACGACGACCGGCGCAATGGCCGACGTGTTGCGCCCGCCACCTGGGTCGCTACGAGGCACCCTAGGCACCTGCTCACACGCGCTGCGACGACAGCCAGCGCGGGTTAGGGCCGGCCCGCTTTCCCAGGATGACGGCCGTATGTATCTACAACCTGGCTCGATGGTGTCGGGCAGGCTGTCAGGAGTCGGTGCACTGCGCGCACAATGCAGTCCCTACGTGCAGCTCCGACCGAGCGACAGCGAGCTGGACGTGAGAAGCCGATCGACATCCTGATTCGACGGTGGCGATTGCGGCTGGCAATCTTGGTTCCTAACGATGACAGCGGGTGTATCAACGGAACGCAGGTCAGCCGCAGTCATCGTGGCGGGCGAGGGTCCGAGTTGGCCAGCACGCTACACGGGCGCCACGCTTGCCTTGCGCCTTGCGCCTTGCGCCAGCAGCGACCAGAGGAGGCGAGAGAGAGGCAGGCAGGCTATCGTATAGGCAGGGTCGTTCAACGACCATCCTCCATCTATCTGTCGAGGAGTTCCCATGCCCAGCATGCGTGCAGCAGCGCTGGCCTTGCCCACGGATCGTTCGGGTGGGGTGGGCCAACGGGCGTAAGACCGGTGTGGGCGTGTGACAAGACTTGCTGCAACGGGCGTTGCGCGAGGCCAGCTCAGGCAGCACAAGCAAAGCAAGGCTGAGCCGTACGTGGGCCACGATGCTGGCCAAACGAGGCCCAATTCACACGCACCGCAGGTACCCATACACACAGACCTAACGACCACACGACGGACCTGCCGCCGAGCCCAACTCGCTTGGGGCAGAGGGAACCAGCAAATTGGCTTTCGCACGCGCGCCCGCAGGGCCCTCGTCTCGCACCTCACCGCCGTGTGGCCGCCACGTCAGGCCGGCCACCGGGTATAGGCCGGCAGGCAGGCGACGGCAAGGTGTGCGCGAGCCATCGAGGACCGATTTCGCGATCGAGCGAGCATGGCGCTGCGAGGAACGCTTCCCTTCATCGATGCAGGCATGGACGAGGTCGGTGTTAGGCTCGGACAAGTCAAGCGAGAGAGAGAGATCAGAGGCCGGGAGACTGGTCGCGGGGCCTCTTTCCCGCCCGTCGTCGGTCAAGGGCCTCGCCGCCTTCGCCTCTCGCCATGGGCTTGGCGAAACAACCTTTCGGCCCATCCTGCCTAGCGCACCGCACAGACAACCTTGCCGGCACGTTCTCCTTGATGGATGGAGGGCGTCTGGGGCGATGCCAGGCCTCCAGGCCGCTCTCTCTGCTGGCGACTTATCGCCGCAGACGCCCACAGGCCAGCTCGCCGGCATTCCCGTTATGGTCGCGGCCGCCTTCCCAGCCTATCTATATATGTCGTCCTTACGTCCGACATTCGAGCGGTGCTTGGAGACGATCATCGACGTACAGGGAGAGGCAGGCCAACGTCGCTCCGGGCTGAGGCCGGGGTTTGAAACCCGCTCTGGCGCCCTTCTTTGCAAGTTCTGGCGGCTTTTCTCCTCGACGAACTGTGTAGCATCTTGACTCCGCTCTGCCGCCTCCTGCTGCTCCACGTACTGTAGGCTTCGGCCCGCCCTCCGACCGAGAGGCCAGCCAGCAAGCAGGCAGGCTCGCTTGCTCGGTCGGACCTTTTCCCCCCGCCCTCTTCGCCCGGCTGCGGCTTCAAGCTTGGACAAAATTGTCCGACAGCTGGCCTGCGATGCCAAGCTGCGGTACGGTATTCCCGCGCTGTACCGAGCGGGGCGGTGGAGCCGGGCCGATCCGCCTGCTAACTACTTCGCAGGAAGTGCAACGCAGAAAGCGAGCATGAAGCTACGCCGGGACGGTTGTCGAGCTTCGTTGTCGACTTCGACGAATGACTTCTCACTTCTCACGCCCACGGTCGATCGGCCTGCAGGATCCGAGGGTGCGGAACGTCGTGTCCGTGCGTCGCGGTTCCCTCCTTGACCTCCCTCGATCGGCCCCGGTTCACACGGGCATGCCCTACACCCTCTTCCTCGAGCTTAACCGCTTCATACGGCCGTCGACCTAGCCAGCAAGATAAGGGCGAGGACGAGCGTGCCCGCCATGCGGAAGAAGGTACTCCGTCCACCGTACCGGCCCAGCTGCTTTGCTCGCTTCCAGAGCACAATGGTACATCCGCGGCCAAGAAAAAGGTAGCGCCGACCGACGAGGAGCGAGACACGTAGGCATAGATTAAGATTCGAGGATGCAGGAACCTAGCCTGTTGTTGTTCTCGGGCGTCCTTGCTTGCTTCTTCCTGGGGCCCGATGCCGTCGCCAAACAGGTACTGTACAAAAGACAGCACGTCTCGCCCACCAGGAGACGACTCGACTAGAGCGGAGGGCGCGACGCCTCCTACAGGTAGTCAGATGTCTGCCCAAGCAGGTCGTGGTCAAGGGAATCAGTCGTGGGATGACCGGGGCGCAAGCTTGCTCGCTTGCTGTGCGCCATACCGGTAGCTCCGTCGCTTAAGCCTTTCGCCTGGCTTCGAGGGAAAGAGAGGGAGAGATCACCGAATGGGATGCCTTGGTTGCATGTGTGCTGGACGGCGCGCGGTCTCCATAGATCCTCCAGACTGCGGCTCTCTCAGCTTCGATCCCGCCTCGATGACCGACCGTCAGCGTGTGGCATTAACGGCACGCTCGGGGAATTCGGCGCCCGGCATCCCTCGCCTGCCGCAGTGAACCCGGTCCGTATCTCGCCTCGCCTTACCTCGATTTCGCATCGACCGTGATGCGCTCGTCCACCTTCCTCGTGCTCCACAAAGGCACACCCGATCTCGATCGAGGCCTCGCAGAGAAACATGGGGTCTTTACGGAGCCTCGCTCCTTTTGTTGATTGCCGCAGTGACGGTGGTCGCAACGTGTAGTAGTGTAGAGACGGACATGTGCGATGGACTGCCGTGGTGGCGAGCACGATCGCGACGAGATGGCAAGGAACTCGACGTCGTCTGAACGGCCCGGACAGCTCTCCCCACCTCATCTCGCGCAACCGGTCGTGCCCGCGGCCCATCCTGCGGCGGCCGGCCCCTATGCGCCGCCCCGGGACTGGAGGATAAACTGCTGCAGGTACGCCTTGAACTGCTTGGCCTCGAGCGTCTTGAGCTTGGCCACAAAGTCCTGTGCCAGCTCAGCGGGGCAGTTGATGCCGGGGAAGTAGACGGTGACGAGGTAGGTGACCAGCTCCTCGCCGCGCTTCAGGTAGATGGTCTTCATCAGCAGCGCAATCTCGCCCAGCACAATCTGCGACTGGGCGTCGCGCAGGTCGAACGTGTCCTTGGCCGGCGCCTCAAAGACGAGGCCGACGAGCGTCTCGTAAATGAAGCGCTCAAAGCCTGGCAGCGGCTTGCTCGGCGTCGCCGATGCGCCGGCCGCCGTGGCGCCCGATGACGACGACGACGACTTGGCCGAGCCCGCCGAATTGGTGCCGTTGGCGGCGGCGGCGGCGGTGCCGGCGGCAGTGGCGTCCTCGCCCTCCTTGCCGCCCCAGGTGGCGACGAGCCGGTGCAGGATGGAAAAGGCGGTGCGCTGGCACGACGGGTCCGACGCCGTCGAGTAGTATACGATGCTCTGCAGCAGCGTCTCGAGCTGGCCGCGGTTCTTCTCCGAGACAAAGACGCCGTCCATGCCCGAGCCGACCATCGCCGAGAGGAAGTTGATGTAGGCGCGCTGCAGCTCGGCCTTGCGCACGGCGTCGTCGGTGCCGGCAATGTCCTGGTTGAGGAAGTAGAAGATGCGCTCGACGAGCATGAGAAAGAGCTGGTCGATGATCGGCCGTACGCTCTCCTTGTACTTGTTGACCACCAGCCCGAGGAAGTTGATAAAGTCGATCAGCTCCTCGGCGCTGACCTGTCCCAGCAGCGCGTCAATCAGCCCGGGGATGTAGGGCAGCACCGCCTTGCCGCACGTCGAGACGATGCGCGCGAAGGCGCCGCGCGCCGCCTCGCGGATCACGGCAAACTGGTTGAGCGCCGTCAGGCTGACGAGGATCTGCTCCGTGACCGCCTTGAACACCTCGACCCACCGCGGCTCGGGCTGCGTGCTCTGCGGGTGGACGTCCGGGAAGCCCTTGGCCAGGCTGCTGAGCGCCAGCATCAGGTGGTGGACCTGCAGCACCAGCCGCAGGTCGCTGCCGTCGCGCTGGAAGCCCTGCACCGCCTGCTGCAGCTGCTCGATGAGCGGCTGCGCAATCGCCCGCGACAGCATGACCTGGTCGTCGGGCGACGCATGCAGCAGCGACACCAGCACGCCGCTCGTCTCAAACAGGTAGAGCTGGCTGTCAAAGAAGCCAGCGGGCGCCGTCGCCTTCTGCAGCGGGTCCTCGTCCGGTCCCACGTCTGGCAGCTCGGCGCGCACCGCCAGCACGTCCTGCATCCCCTCGAGCAGGCGCGGCACGATGTCGAGCGGCAAGGCGCCGACGGTCCGCAGGTCACGGATGAAGCGGTAGAAGAGGTAGTTGGCGCGCTTGCGCACGCCCTGCCGCTCGTGGTGGATGCCGCGCCAGTCGAGGAAGGCGGGCAGCGCCTCCGAGACCGAGGCGCTGCGAGCGGCGAAAAAGTTCGAGTAGCGGATGAGGCACTCGAAGAACTGCAGCTGGACCGCTGGGTGCGGGTAGGCCGATACGTTGGACTGCACCAGCTTCTGCACCATCTCTCCCAGCGTGCTCAGCGGCAGCGTGGCGAGAACATCGTTGGAGATCTTGAGGTTGCGCCCCTTGGCCGTCTCGCCCTCGGGCAGCTGGACAAACGTCGCCGGCGACAGGCCGACCTTGGGCGCCGCCGTGGCCGTGGTGAGGAGGTCGCCGTAAAAGTGGATGACAAACAGGGCCAGCTCGACCTGCTGCCAGCGCAGCCGCTGCGTCGCGGTGCCGGCGGCGCTCGCCTCGAACGAGGCAAACGTCGACAGCACCAGCTGCAGCAGCGTGTTGGAGAAGAGGCCCTCGTCGATGGCGGCGATGGCGCCGATGATGGTCTGCAGGTTCTTGCGCAGCTCGATGAACTTGATGTCCACCTCGTCCTCTTCCTCGTCGTCGTCGTCGGCGGCGCCGAAGCTGGCGCCGTTCCACTCGGCCTCCTCGTCAAACTGCATCTTCTGGAGCACGACCCGGATCAGGTTCGAGAGGAATTCGCCGCGCACCGGCGCCAGCGCGGCACCCCGCCGCTTGGCCTTCTTGTAGTTGTTGAGGACGGCGTTGATGCCGGACAAGACCTGCTCCGACGGGTCGTCGAACTCGTCAGAGAGGAAGCAGAGCACCACGGGCAGCGCCCCGTTGAGCAGGGCGTCGGCTGCGGTGCGGGTCGCCTCGTCGGCCGCCTCGTCCTCGACAATCTTGCACATCTCGAGCACCAGCACGTTGGTCAGCTTGGCGAGGTGCTCGCGGAACTCGACGTTGGCATCGCTGTCGTCGCCGGCGCCAGAGACGACCTTGCCCTTGTCGTCCTGCGGCGCGCTCGTCCGCGTCCGCGCTTCGAGGGGGGGGAGCACGTCGGTCAGGTTGAGCGCCTGTGCGAGCGACAGCTTGTCGGCGGGCTTCATGCCCTTGCTGACGACGCCGTGCAGCGCGTCGGCGGCGGCGGCGCGCAGCGAGGGGAGCGTGTGGTGGAGCAGCTGGAACAGCAGCGGCACCGTCTGGCCCGTCACAAAGAGGGATATGTCGATCCAAGAGACGTAGTCCTCGACGACCTTGGTCGCCGCCGCAGTCAGCTCGACGGCGTTGGCGTACGTCATCGTCCGGAGGCCCGAGCCGCCGCCGGCCGCTGCAGCGTCGGCCGCGGCGCCCTGGTTGACCCTGGCGTGGCCCTGCTCGACGATGCTCCACACCGTCTCTGCGATGCTGGCGGCGTGGTTGGCGCGGATCTCATCGCGGATGGCGGCATCGCGCTGCAGCCTCTCCCTCGAGCGGACGGCCCGCAACGTGGCGTCAGAGCCCAGCGTGACCGAGAGGTCGTGCAGGACCCGCAGCACCAGGTCCGAGGTGTATGGGTTGAGCGGCAGCTGCGAAGACGAGCCGGCGCCGAGCGAAGGTGAGTTCGAAGGGTGGGCGCGGTAGAGCGAAAGCAGCGTCGGAAGCAGCGTAAACGGAGGTGGCAGGCTGTAGGTCTGGAGCAGCAACACTGCGAGCACCTGAGCGAACTTGTTCTTGAGGTCTGCAGAGCGACAGGCGGTACGGGCAGCGAGGGGCGTTCAGCGTGCCTTGGCCACATGTCGAGCCAGCGTTGCGCAGGGATGGAGCTGCCCCAGGAAAGACTCACAAGGCACAGCCTGATCGCCGGAGCCTGCCACGTACTCTTGCTGAATGTAGCTGACGGCGGCCTCCTGCAACGTGGCCACGGCAGCGGCCGGATCGCTCGACATGCCGATCCTGAGCAGGAAAGCCGCAGAAGACCCAGAAGGGTGACGCCAGGACCGGAGGTGGTCAGCGTATGTACCGTGACCGGGACGAGCGGCGTCGCCCGAGCACGGCCAGGGTCGACTCACTTGTTCTCTAGGAAGTCGTCGACCAGCATCAGTCCGAACATTCTGGCATTGTGGCTGTACTTTGGCCCGTCGCCGCCATCGTTTCTGGCTGACCATACGGCCCAGCCGACGCTCCAGCTCTCCTCGGTGATGCTCTTGAGGTGTTCGAGGAACTGGAGCGCCTGGGAGGTGAGTTCTGGCCCAGCATTGGCGAGCGGGTTCGAGGCGATTTCGACCGCCTGGATCAGCTGTGCCTCCATGGCGGCGGCGGCGTCAGCGTCGTGGTCGGGGTCGAGTCAGAGGTCGAGGTCGGAAGCGCCGGATTGGCAGAGCCGAGAAGGGCTAGGGGCGATCAGCGCAAAAGGGTGCGTTGGCTGCGGCTCTGCCTTTGGGAACGCCGGCCGGCTGGCTGGCTCAAAGAGCGCTGCGTTTGGCTGCGTGTGACGGCAGTGGCGCTCTGCGACGACGAGATCGGAGGCTGGGTCCTCTGTCGCTATGGCAGCATGAGAGGAGGCGAGAGGCGGATCAAACGAAGGGCCTGGCGAGGTGGGAAGTCTCGCAGAGGTCGGAACAGCGGCAATCGGAGGCGATGCTGGCGTGGCTGCGTTTCCAGGCAAGGAGAGGCGATGCGGCCAGCTCTGCGATGTCGAAGGCGATACCTGCTGTCAGATGGAACGCCGTGGCCGGATCTCGCTCGTACGCTAGGCGATGCTGCTGGTGTGTCGGCGATGGATCTCGAGGACAAAGGCGATGCAAATGGGGCGTGTGGCTGCAGCAGTTAGAGCGTCCGTCGCTGCGGGCTGTCGGCAAGGCGAGCTTTCGATCGACCAGAAGCGGGGTGCTAGGAAGGAGGGGGGGTGTGATGGCTTCTCGGAAGGATGACTACGGGGCCTTGACGAGGCCACGTCGAGCTCTCGACGTCGGGCTGTCCGCTTGCTCGCCTGCCCAACTCTGGCCTGGCCTGGCCTGCCCTGCCTGCCTGCCTGCCTGCTTGCTTGTTTGTTGGCCGGTCGTCTGAGGTGGCCCTCGCCTGCCTGCCTCTCTGCCCACCGCTGCCTCTAAGTCTCTGAGCGTGCGTGGCTGGCCGTTGTCTGTTGCGTTGCGTGTGTCTCTCTGCGCTTCTTCCTTCCGGGCTCGCCCCTCGCGAGCGAGCGAGAGAAGGAAAAATCCAAAACCCAACACCGTACCATCAGATCACCAGCGTCTCGGATCCGCGCCGCTCCACTTTGGCCTGGCCTGGCCTGGCCGACCCCTTTCAACCAGCGGACCCTAGCCTGGCCGCCCCCCTGGAAGCTGCAGCATGAAAGCAGGCTAGGTAGGGCAGGCCGGCCTCGCCAGGCCTGGGCCTGGCTGCAGCCAACTTTTTTTCTTTCTTTTTCGCGCGCAAGCAGGCGTGGCCCGGCCTGCCTGTTGGTTGCCCGCCTTTCTTGCTTGCTCCACTTTTTGTGGGCCTGGCTCGGCTGGCCCGCCGCTGCTGGTTGCTGCTCGATTGCCTGTGGCCGCCTGCCTGCTTGCTGCTTGCCGCTGGCCCGCCCCCCGCACCCCTGGCTGCCTCGCTCAGGGTCCGGGATGAGCAGCAGCAGCAGCAGCAGCAGCAGCGCAGCTAGCGTAGCGTTTTAGGTTGCCTGTCCCGCTCCGCCTGCTTCGTCCCCCTCCTCCCTGCTCCCCTATCGGCCTCGCACCGGCCTGGCCGACGCTTGCTTGCTGCCTCGCTGGGGGTCATCTCCTATCTTGAAGCTGCTCATTGTGTCGGACCTCTGCCGCCATCACGTAGCATCTGCCTGCCTCGGGGCCCAAAGAGAATGGGAGCGGTATCTGTGTCGCTGAGCTCTGGCTGTAGCCTAGCCTGTCGAGCTCACCCGACCAACTCGGGCCAGCCCCGGCCTAGGCCTCATCAATCGAGCGTGGCGGCGTCGCCGGCTAGCCTCAGCCTGCCTGCTGCCTGCGCCAGGTAGGGGGTCCTTGCGCCGAACGCACGCTATGCTACGCAGCATCGACTGCAGGAGCGTCCCTGCCTCTTGTCTGATCCCCCTTCCCTGCTCTGCCCTACCATCACACCGTGCCCTCGTCACATCACACCCCACCCGACTGGCCCAGCTCCCCCGCTTCTGCCGTCACAAACACACGCGCAGCTCCCTGTCTAGCTTAGCCTGGCCCAGCCTGGCCAAGCCTGTCTGCTGCCCGCCCTCTTCCGCACGTTCGCTCGCTGCAAGCGGCTGGCGCTGTAGGTTGGCTGTGGCCCCAGCCCCTTCCGCCTGGGTGCAGTGCAGAGGCCGCCAGACTCACCTGCCTGGCTCCTTTGCTCACCTCTGGCTCCTGCCTTTCCACCGCACCACCACCTCCTTGGTCTTCCACGTCAGCACAAGCACAGACAACAACAGCAGCAGCAGCAGCAGCAGCAGCAGCAGCAGCAACAACAACTATAGCAGCTTGCAAGAGCAAACCCGACGGCATAGCCACCGCCTACTACCTCGCCGCCTCGCCCCTACCTGCAGCGCCACCTACGACCATCGCTCGGCGCACCGTACGCTACACGCTATCCGCCCGGCGCTGCCTACAACCCCTCTTGACTCTTCCCCCTCGACCGTACTTCGACCACGCCACCCACTTTCCTCGGCCACTCGGCCCCCCTCACGCCCCTCGACATTCTCTGACCGACTGCAAGCTCGGAGGTTCTACCTCGTATCTCTTTCCCTCATCTCTCGCACACCCCATCAGCGAGAATCTTCAGGGCGCCGAGGCCTCGCCCAGCATTTCGTCCGCAACCTGGAGCTGAAGCTGGATACAGGTGAGGACAGCCGTCCGACGTGGCTCGAAGAGCGCCATCTAGTCCGTACCTGCCCCGCATTGCCCAACGCCCGCTGATCACACTCCGAGCGGCATGCACCCCGCCATCCTCGAACCACGTCTAGGCCCTTGCCTGCACAACACGGCAGCCAGGCTGTACCCCTAGGCAGACCCGCTGCCAGCCGGGCCAGCCTCTCCCCCTCCGCAATATGTCCTCGCCCATCGACGAGCCTGCGATGGCGGGCCACATCCGCAGCTTCAGCTCACCGAGCCTCTCGTCATCGTCGCACACACCCTCATCGTGCAACCTGGACGACGTCGGCCCGCACGACCTGTCGGACGTCTCGTCGCTCGACGGGTCCGAATTCGAAATCATCGACGTCGTGCGACGACCCGCCTCATCGCTCTCTGCAAGGTCCCGCGAACATGCGGGCGCCGAGGGCAGCCACGATGCACCTTACGATGGCAGCCTGCTCGGTGATCACGCCGACCAGTGGGCCACGGTCCCCCGCCACACGACCCTGGCCGATGGCAGCCACGCCGTCGACGTGCATCGCCTCGCTCCGAACCAGAATTCGCGCACGCAGCGCGTCGTCGGTGGCGACAACATCGACGGCGACGAGCGTGGAGACCTGTCTGCCGTCCTCAATGAGCAAGATGCCGCCGAGGCCGACCTGCTCAACCGTAGCTTGACTTCAACTTTTGCCCTGTCTCGCCACGAGCAGCAGGACAGCGGTCCCTCGTCCAGCACCAACTCGACCTGCATCGTCACTCCGCTCGCTTCGATCCTGGCCAATGCCACAAGCCACCGGCTCTCGAGCTTTCCGGAGCGAGAGAGCGACGGCGAAAACGCCATCGCCAGCTCCGATGCGACGCCCTCGGTGCTCGCAGCCTCGCAGTTCACGTTCCCCGACCCGCTCAGCGTGTCGATGGCTGGGCCGGTTGGACACGAGGACGAAGGCGGCGCCGATGCCGCCGGCGGTTGCCCGGTAGTCTCGGCTCCCTCTGACCATTCGCAAGCGCTCCGCAACCGGCGATGGACCCCGGTCCCGAGCGAGGCAAAGACCACCGACCCGTCGATGGTCAGCCGTCCGAGCGAGCGCGGGTGGAACCGTGCGAGAGCGGCGGCGGCAAAGGCGGGGGCACCGACCGCCACCGCGTCGAGCTTCGGCTTCAACACCTTCGATCCGGCGTCGCTCGGGTCCACCGAGGTGGCAGCCAAGTCGGGCGACCTGCGCTCAGCGCTGGCCGGCCGTCCGGTGCGCAGGACCCACATCGACCTTCCCGCCGCCATCAATGTCTACTACCTTGGCCGTCGTCCGAGCGCGGCCGTGCTGTGGCGCATCTCGCAGGCGGTCAAGTCCTCGCTTGTCGAGGCGGCGGGCGTTCCTCTGCAGCCTCACGCGCGCGACGTCCACCAAGGCGGTATCGTCGTCACCAGGTCGGCCGCCGGCAACGCCTTTGGCAAGCGCGTCCTCCATCTCAAGGAGGTCGACTGCACCGAGGCACGCGACGACAGCGCGGAGCGGACCGCAATGGTCGAGGGCTACCTCAAGGGCACTGCCGCGCATGACGTCGCCAAGGGCAACGCGCTCATCATCTGCTGCCTCGAGGGCGGCGAGGCCAGCACCTCGACCAGCCTGCCCAGCCACCTCGCCAGCCTGCTCGAATTGATCCATGCCCGCCTCCCCTCGCCCACCCAGCTGGGCAGTCAGGCAGCACAGGTCCCCAAGCCGCTGGTCCTGCCAGTCTCGTGCCCGAGATCGAGCGCGGATGCCGACGACGCCATCTCCATCGCTTCGTCCGGCCAGCGCGAGCTCGTGCGCCAGCTCTCAAGCCGCATGGATGTCCAGGCCATCGATCGAGAGTGGAGCTCAACCCTGGCCGAGACCCTGCGACTGCTCAAGGCCATCTGCTCGGCTCCCCACCTGCACGTGCAGTTTGCCCCCGGCACCGCCTTTGTGCGCGTCATTGGCTTCGAGGCCCTCGTCTCAAACTCGGCAAGCTGGTTCCGCGGCGATGCCACCTGGGCATGCCGCGCGGCGATGACCCTGACGACGCCGTCCAACTCGCCGTTGGTCCTCCTCCAGGGCGCCGAGTCGGAGCCTCGAGGCATGCAAGCGCCGCCGGCCTGGCTGACAAAGACGCGCAAGTGGCTATCCCGCGGTGCTCAGAATGCCCCCTTCTATCAGGAATCGCTCGAATCGGGCAAGGAGAAGCTCGAGGACGACGAGGTCCTCGGCCCGCTCGAGGACCGCGACGACCTCGAGCGTCTCTCGACTCGCAAGCTGCTCTCACGCCACCGCATGCTCAAGCTCCTCGTCCTCGCCATGTCGCTGCTGTCGTGCGCCGCGCTGCTCGGCAACGGCACCGTGCCGCTGGCGAACAAGCTTTTCGATCAGGGAACCCGGCTTTCGCGCGCCTCGCTGTCCAAGCCGACAGCGATGTCGATCGTGAACTCGCTCACCCCCGGCGGCGGCGGCGCTTTCCTCGACTGCACTCGCAACCTCTCCCAGAGCATCGCAAGCCGTCACTCCGCCTCTTCGAGCCTCGTCAACGTACCCGCTGCCGGATCGAGCGGGACGAGCGGGACGAGTCCGACCGCCAGTCGCCGCACCAAGTCTACGCCGAGCAAGCCATCCGAGCTGCGACCGAATGCCATGGCGAGCACGGCCGTGGCCGTTCGCAGCGCCGCTAACCAGACCACCGGCCTCTCCGTCTACCAGCAGACCGTGTTTGGCGATCCCCCAATGGCCGTCACGAACGATAGTGGCAGCAGCAGAACGAAGGGCAAGGCCAAGGCCAAGGGCAGAGCCAAGACCAAGGGCAAGTCCAAAGGTGTCGGCCGCGTCCAACGCTCGGCCGGCGGTTCGGCGACGGAGTCCGCAGCCTCGGCGCCGGCGCAGGGTCGGGTCCTTGATCGCCTGCTGCGCGGCGCGCATCAGGCCAAGACGGCGCTCATCGCCGGCGCCCGGCTATCGTGGCAGTACTGGCTGTCGGAGCTGTGGCGCGTCTACCACGACATTGTCCTTCCAGCCCAGCAGTACTATGCCGACGCGTCGCTGCATGCCTCGCGGATGCTGCACAGTGCTCGCACCGCCTCGAAGGTGTTTGCCGACAAGCACAGACACGACGCCCGCCACCTGCTGTCGGACGCGGTCCGGGGCGCCGTCGTCGTCGACGATATGGTTCGCGCCCGTGCGCTCGAGACGCGCCAGTGGGCGCGCAGCATCTTTCGCGACATGACCAAGGGAGCCGTCATAGTCTCGGACGCTGCATCGAGCAGCCTGGCTTCTGCGGCCGAGGAGCTCAAGACGAAGGGCGAAAACCTCGCGCAGCACCTCAAGTCCAAGCGCCTGGACGAGAGGTTGCGGCAGCGCGCGTCCGAGGCGCGCCGCTACAGCGACCAGCTCCTCGGGTCGGCGCTGAGGCGCGGCGATGAGCAGCTCGAGTACTGGTTCTTTGCCGACGACGACTGAATGTGCGGTCGCCGCGACTCCTCTTCAGTCACCCCCTCGGCGAGCAAGTCGGCAGCGGCCCCACCGGACGGCACTTGCTGGCTCGCCGCCAGCCCTTCTCGACGACCCTGGGCCGGCCGGCACCCTCTCCCTTTCCCGATCCCGTCCATCGAGAGCGCCAGCCGGCACCATCTGCAATCTCGGGCGGCGTCCGTGTCGATCGCGAGCCGGCCATTCCCATCTTACTCTGATATGTATCCCTCCCTCGACTCGTCCAGCACCGATGGCTTTTCCGCGTCCTCTCTTCTCTCCAGCCCGACCGCCCGCAGTGGTATGGGTCGGCGGGCCCACTCGAGCTAGGCCTCGAGCCTCGTGTATCGTGTCCGCTTCCATTCCCAGTCCGCCTAGCTAGTCCGCTGCGCTCGTGTCTGCCCTCGTCCTTGTGTCGCCCCCCGAATAGCGGCTCACCCCACCGCCACCACCTCGACCCCCCTCCCCCCCCAAGCCATGTCGACCGGGCCCTGACCCTCCTCTGCGAAACGCGAGGAATGTATGTTAACCACGAATCCAAACCTCTCGATCCGCTTCCAGGCCGATGCGATGTCAGTGCGTCGCGAGCGCGGACAAGTGGCAGCGAGGGCCAAGATGCGTCGACAGTCGAGGCGGCGCGAGGTGATTGGCGCGATAATTTGGCCTTGGCTGGGCGGTTTCCCCGCATTTTTCTTTCTTCTATCGCTCGCCTGCTGGGCTGCCGATCTGACGTGCAGGCAAATGACGCCAGCCCGCCTGCCTGAGCCCCAGCTCGCGCGAGACCCTGCCTGCCTCTCTGGCTCACACCACCGCCTGCCAACAGACCTCCAGGCGCGGTCAGGCCATACTCGAGTCATGCCCTCCCCAGCAACAGCAGCCACGCACCAGCGTACGATGCATCGGAGTCATCCACCCCTCGTCGCTGCCACCACGTCGCTGGCCATCGCAGTCTGAGCTTACCTGCTTGCTTGCTTGGTTGCGCGCTGGTCGGGCCATGGCTTGAAGGGGATAGGCCAGGGGGTCGTGGGGGATGCCCACCGCCTGCCGCTTCTGACTCGACCGGACCTGAGACCCAGCACCCAGCAGGCAAGCGCAGACAGCAGCGTTACAGTTGGGGCGCCGCCAGCTCCACCGTACGCTTGCGCAGCCCAGCCAAGCCAAGCCTAGCCTTCCTAGAGGCCATGCATGCTTGCAAGCTTACTTCTGCTTGCTCGCTGGTGGGGACTGACGGGCGAAGGCCAACAAAAAGACACCGCTTCTTCTGCCGACACCGCGGCCTGCCGTGGCCTGGCCTGCCTGAGCCTGGCTGGCTGGCTCGGGGCCGCGGATAGGGGCCGTTGGCGCGCGCGCCCCCCGTCTCTTGCTTCTCTCTCTCTCTCTCTTTGTCCCCCTTTGGCGCCGGCTGCCCGAGAGTGCGTGGGGCTGGCTGAGCCGGCTTGCCGGGCAATCAGACCGGCACAAACAGGGCAGATCAGAGGCCCCAGGCAGGCTAGGCTCAAGCATCACACACCCGCGCATCCACGCACGTCGCGATCGTGAGCGGGCCCCCCTTCTTTGAGGCCAGCTGGCTCCAAAGCATGCGTGCGACAAGAGCATGACCCCCGTTCCAGCCTAGGCCTAGCCTGTCCTCCTCTCCTCCCTCCGAGCTCCGGCGTCATGGTCCGGCGTCGGGCGGAAGCAAGGCGAGCGGGGAACGGGTTCCCGGCCAACGTAGACATCCGCTACGTACTCTCGCGCGGCGCCCCGTTCCCGACCCACCCACCCGGCCTTCGCCCCGCCCTTGGCATCGGCTTGGACCTGCCGTGCGAGTCACGCCTGCGTGTCAGGCAACCATCATATCGGGATGGCAACGCAGGCGGGGCGGCGAGACGTGCTGCGCCGGACAATCGACCAGGCTGCTGCCCCACCGCCGCAAGTTCGGGAAGCTCGATGGATCGGATGGGCGTGGATTTGCAGGCCCACGGAGCGGCAGGCTGACGGCGCGGTGGCGTTGGCGAGGCCAGAGGGGGCTTTCAAAAATCGAGGTAGTTAGAGGTATCGCAGCAGCGCCAAAGGCGGCAGCGTGGGGCTGTGCAGGAGCCAACGGCGCAGCAGGCCCCCCAGGCAGAGATCGAGTGCGCGTTGGCGCGTGATGGCGCCGGCGCTTGGTGGGTCGGACCGAAGCCGGACTCGCGCTTCCGCCCGCCGCTGGCCTTGACTTGCCAGGAGGGCCTGCCTAGCCGCCCGGACACGGCCTCCGCCCGGCGGCGGACGGTACGGTGATGGTTGGCAGCGATAGCTTGATGCTGACGAGTTGGCCGGGGCTTGGCCTGCCTGACCTGGTCGAGGCTGCGGCGTTGCGAGCGCAAGCAAGCTTCCCGGCAACCTACCTAGCTCGCCCAGTCAGAGTGCCTTGCCCTGCGCTGCCCTCGCCCTCGAGGCGGGACCATACGATCCGCAACCACCAACCCCGGATGCGATGGAAGGGGCTTGGCCAGTGCGCCCTGAGACACGGACGCGCGGCCAGGCGACGCTGCAGGCCCCTCTCGAGCCGGCTGGCTGGCTGGGCTGGCTTGGCTGGCTTGCTTCTCTGGCGGCGTGGGGACCTGACTTTTGGCCGGCTCGTCTCGCCGCTTCCCACCCCGACCAACCCGACCGACGGTGCTGCTGCCCTGCCCCGCCCGCCGCCCGCCGCCCGCCGACTCCCTGGCTGGCTGGCTGGCTGGCTTGCTGCTCGCGCTTGCTCTGGCTGAGGCTCTGCCACCGACCGACCCGACCCTCTGGCCATCCGCCGCCTCGCCCCGCCCCGCCCTGCCCTGCCCTGCCCTGCCTCGCCTCGCCTCGCCTCGCCGTCTCGCTCTCCCTCGCCAACCGGCCGGCCTGCTGGCCCCGCCGCGCCTTGCCCACCGCCGCCGAAGCTGCCGTAGATCCGCACGCACCCTGCTGTGCGCTTCTTCTCAAGGACAGATAGAGAGGGCCCCCCTTCCTTCCGCCGCGCGCGCGCCTCCACCCCCTTCTTCCACCAGCTGACCCCCCTTTCCCCCCGCTGACTGCCTGCGTGCCACCTCCCTGCCCGCCACCGCCACCCCCAGCGTCGTTCCTCCTGATCTCCACCACCACCTCTGCCAACACCAACATCGCCACCGCCCCCGCCATCCACCAACCATCCATTCATCCGGCCGCCGCCCGCCCTCGCGACCACTTTCATCTGTCGCCCGCCCGCCGGCTTCCATCTTGCGCTCGCACAACAGCCGACGCCGCCTCGATCCTCGTTCCCGCCGTCGAGCTGCCTCGCCACCCAGACCACAGCCGCCTGTGCGCCAACAGGTCCATCCATCTGCGCTCCGCTCCCGCCAACACTCCCGACGGCTCCTGTCTCCGCGCCTCGACGCATTCGCCGCCACTCTTTCCTTCCCGATAAGATCGGACCAAGCTTCCGAAGCAGGCCTATCACCGATAGCACCAGCGTCCACCAGCCAGTTCGTGCGCTGTGGTTGGACACGAGTCCGCTCGCTTCTCGACATAGCTCAGAGGCACCCCAGTCCTCTCGACTGACGAGCAGGCTGCCAGCATCCACCTGGGCATCAGCGCAGCGCAGCGCTCCTTCCTGTACTCGACTCTCGTCTGCCAAGAACGCCCTCTCGCACTCCCACTTGGCCTAGGCCTACCGCATAGACCCGAAGCAGGGCCTTTCGCTTCGAGCAGGCCGCCACACGTTCCATCCGCAGCGCATCCCTTGAGCGCTGGCAACCCTTCGGCACCTGCCCCCACCGTTTCTCAAAGTCCCCAGCCGGCACCTCAACGCCGATATGTCGGTCGACCTCGAAGCCAGGCCCGCACCGGCGCCGACCCAGTCTTCACCCACCTTCCGACAGACCGGCTTCTCGGTGCCTCCGACATCGACATCGTCGACCCAGGATGTCAACGCCACCGCCTCCGGCAACACCGCGCACAAGGCGCCAAGAGGGAAGCTCTCGAGCTCCAGCCTCAATGCGGCCCTGCATGCCCGATCCCATTCCGGCACCGTGGGGAGAGCCGGAGGCCACCGCACCTCCACCGACGATGGAGACGCAGAGATGACCGACGCCGGCGAGGTGAGTGGTCGACCTACAACCAGAGGCGCTTGTCGGAGTGCGCGCGGATTGATCGACTGCCGACTGCCGACTGACTTGTGTCTCTGCGCATCGACCCCGCACAGATGTCGTCCTACCGTCCGCTGCCGATCCCAGGCAAGACGGCGGCCATTGCCCTCGTCTCAAAGACATCGCAGTCGCCCAGCGATCTGGCCACGCCACCCGACGCCATGGCGCTGACATCCCACAAGCAGTCGCCTGGCCTCTCGACCAGCGGCGTCCGCCTGCCCCCGCTCAACTCGAACCTCATCAGCCCGCGCTTCTCCACCATGCACGGATCCAGCGTTTCGAGCGGGCCGGCCTCGGCGACCTCGAGCCATTGGTCGCCCGGACGCAGCTCGGACCCGCACCTCTACAGCATCTCGTCTGGCCGCAAGTACAGCTACACGACCTTCAAGCCCTCGCTCAGCACGAGTTTCAAGATGTCGGCCGAACGCGGTCGCAGCAGCAACACGTTCGACGACGACGATGATGACGACGACGACGACGACGAGAGGTTCGGCAAGCGCTCGTCGGGCGCCCTCGGCCTTGTGTCCGATGGCAAGGCGGCCGGACGCGCGGCGACGGCCGAGGCGGGCGAGGACGGCGATGCCTCTGGCGTCTTCAGCTTCTCTAGCCCGTGCTTCGGACCCAAGCAGCTCGACAACGACCAAATCCCGTCTCCGGATCCGAGCGAGCAGCTGCCCGCAGCGTCCGGCAGCGGTCCCGCGCCGAGTGGCGTGCTGAGTCCCAGCTGGGCCACGGCTTCCCTCGGCAAGCTCAGCCTCGGCAGTCCTGAAGCTAGGACGACGATCTCGTCGCAGCTGCGTCGAGGCTCGCGCCCACAGCACAGCCACAGCTACGGCCAGACCAACCACGGTGGCAACATGTCGACCTCGGCCGACGTCGCCGTCCACGCGGCCATGCAGCAGCGGCGGTACTCGTACAACAAGGCCGCGAGACCGTCCCTCTCCTCGGGTCCGAGCAGCTACACCTACTCGACCAGTTTCGGGCGCGACTCGGCGCTGAATCGCCACCCATACCCGCGCAGCTCGATGCCCGGCAGCTATGGAGCGTCGAGCTACCGTGCCTCGCGTTCCCGCTCGCGCACGCGCCACGGTCCCGAAGACGCTCGGGCGTCCAGCAGGCTCGAGGACGACGACGAGACCGACGAGGAAATGCAGCTCGACGAGGACGACGATGACGCCACCGAAGACGAGGCCGACTACGCATACGCGCGGCACCAGGCTGGCAGGAGCGCGTACGGCCGCTCGATCCCGCGAGCGGTCAACGACCGCAGCCGCTCAAACACGCCGTCGAATGCGAGCCTCGGCCTCACCTTTTCGATGAGCCCGAGCTCCAACTCGATCCTGGGCAAGGGGCTGCCGTACGACTCGGGCAGCCGCTCGGCCTCGTTTGGCGTCAGCCTCAGTCGTCAATACAGCTCGGACCGCCACCCGCCAGGGGCCTCTCTGGCGCCGCACCGCCACCACCCCTATGCGACCAGCCCGAACGGCGCCACGACGGGCCCGCTGAGCGCATCGATGGGCCTGTCGTATAGCCCCGGATCGAATGCGCCGCTCAATCGCCCGGCCCATCGACGCGGAAGCAGCCTCGGCAACGGCCTGGCCGCGCCCGGCTACGGCGGCACGATGCTCTCGACTTCGCCGCGCTACGCCAATGGCGTGCCACACCGTGATGAGCAGCAACTTGGTGAGGGAGGAGCGTACCTCGGGCAGCCCTCGTTTGCGTCGGGATCGCCATTTGCCGCGGGACAGCGCATGGACAGCGCAGGCAAGTACTACACGCCCGCTCCGGGCAGCTCGTACGGGCATGCGCAGGCCCACTTTGCGTCGCGCAACGGCGGCTTGGCTCAATCGCCGCCGGGTCGCCTGCCGCCTGACCGCCTGGGCCAGATCCACGCCGGCTTCGGGGCCCACGAGCGTTCCGACAGCATGGCGAGCGAGGCGACCGAGGGCCCGGACAGCGGAGTGCGGCCTTCTGTGCCGCCGACGACGACGGCGAGCGCATCCGCTCGCTCCAATAGCAACACGGGAGCGTCGGGCAATGTGGATGAGACGGCACAGGTGGCGGCGATCCGCGACCGCCTCGGTGGGGCCGCCAGCTGCTCGGCCTTTATCTCGAAGCTATGGCTGCTCATGATCAACCCGGACCTCTACAGCAAGTACATTCGCTGGGACGAGGCAGGCACGTCGATCATCCTTTCGAGCGAGCCCGAGATTGCCAACGAGTTCGCCTCGGACGTGCTGCCCAAGCTCTTCAAGCACGGCAACAATGCCAGCTTTGTCCGTCAGCTCAACCTCTACGGCTTCCAACGGATCCCATCGTCGCGCCTCCTCGACCCCACCGAGATCAAGGTGGCCGCCGCCAGGCGCGCGGCCGAGTCGGGCGGGGCCGGCGCTGCATCCGCAGGCACGCTCAACACGGCCGTCCAGCTCTACGGCCCGCACTCGAGCTTTGCCCACCCGCGCTTCCGACGGGGCCACGAGGAGCTGCTGACGACCATGAAGCCGCGCTCCAGCAAGAAGCCCAAGAAGTCGAACGGCTCGGCCACGACTGGCCTCAGCCCGCCCAAGCAAGAGGCAGGTGCAGGTGCGGCGGGCGGAGCGGGCCGCACCGCCGCCGCCGCTGATGGCGACGAGACGGACGAAGAGGACTTTGCCCTTTCGTGAGGACGCCGCTGCCGGCGCATACAGCTCCGCATCAGCGGCAGCAACAAGGACGACGACGACGACCACAGCCCCGAATATACGCGGCTGCAGCAAGCGGCAAGCTAGCCGCGACCCGATGCATTCCCCGAGCAAGCCTTCCCTTTGCCGCGTTTCCGACTGAGCCCGACGCCAGGCTCGCTTCCCCCAGGTTACCCTTCTCTTGATACCTCGACGCGACGCGATTGCGGCGGCCGCCAGCTGCTCTGAGCCGCACCGCAGCCTCTGCCTCGCCTTCCATTGCCTCGACCCGGCTCTCCTCTCCACTTTCGCCGTTCTCCGTCCGTTTTTGCCGTGTCCCTGCCTCGCTCCGTGTTTGTTCTCGTCACTCGCATTCCTGTATAAAACACGCCTCACCTGATTCTACGGCCCGCAGCCTTCCTTTCAGCCTCTTCTCGTCGCGCTCTCATCGCCTTGCGTCCGCCCCGTCTCTTTTCGTCGATTCCCCCCATTCCACCCCTCCCCCTTTCTCTTGCGGTCGGCACTTATCCTCTCTGTTTCGTTTGGGAGAGCGCGGCCAGCGTGTATAACTTGTTTTTCCTCTTGAGCATCGGTCGTCGCAGCGACCAGTGACCTGACCAGTCAGCCAAACCACCTTGCTGTTGAAATCTTTGTTGGGGCGTTGCGTTGGCGACGCCCCGTCCGTGCGCGCGTTTGGGGGATGGCCTCGTTGGGTGGAATGGGCCTGCCTTCTTCCACGCCGACATTGCTGCGCTAGCCTCTCTCTTCCTCTCACAGGTTCCTCTCTGCGCCTCGCCCTCCGCCCTCCATTCTCTCGTCGTTTCGCCTCTCCCCTCCTCCCGTCTCTCCTCCATGCCCTCCTCACCCGCGCCCATCCGCCAGCGACTTGGCCACCTCGACCGGACCGTCAATGCCCGCCCGATCGCTCGCTCGCTCGCTCGCTCGCTCCCTGCACATTCGAGTCGAACATCGGAGCAGCATCACTGCAGCGCCACCATCGTCATCATTCAAGCTCGACCGACAAGTGATTCTGCCTTGCCGAGTATCCGACCGCGGCACGACACGGCACGGCACAGCACGGCACGGCACAGCATGGCACGGCACATGCGTCGTCGTCGGACGACGAAGACGCCCGCGACCACGACCACGGCGAACGAAAACTAGGTAACCACCTCGAGTCGGTCCGCCGTCGCCTCGAGGACCTCGCCGATGGCCCGGTCGGGTCGGCTGGCATCCTTGGCCACCTCCTGCCACACGCGGCCGTACTTGGGTCGCACCTCGACGCACTTTTCCCGCAGCGCCTCGCGACCCTGCTCGTTGCCGTGCTGGCGCTCAAACTTGAACCACCACGCCCACCCGTCGCCCCAGCTCGCGTCGGCCTTGACCATGCGCTGGAACCACTTGCGCGCCTGGTCGATCTTGCGGTCGTTCCAAAACAGCCTCGCCACGGTGCAGATGACGCGGGCGTCGTCGCCCGTCTTTTTGAGCGCATCGGCGCTCCGCGTCTTGCGCGCCGGCTTGGGCTCCATCCAGATCGACTGGCTCCACAGCAGCCCCGACGTCGGACACTCTTGCAGCCCGCGCGACACCATCGTCCGCGCCTGCGCCACCGAGCCGCTCCGCTCCTCGACCGACGCCGACTCGCTCCACAGCTCGTCGTTTTTCGGATTGAGCAGCCGCGCCTTTTCCAAAATCGCACGCGCACGGATCTGGATCCCCGCCTCCTCTTCCAGCCGCGACGAGAGGAGCCACAGCGGCGTAGAGTGCGGACACGCCTTGACGCCCTTGGCGTACGCCTCGCGCGCCGCCTTGATGTTCTTGTCGTTGCTGGGGTTGCTGGGGTTGTTGCTGCCCGACGCCGCGTCAGCACCGGTGGCGCCGCCGTCGTCGTCCCCGTCGGCGGCCCCGGCGCGCAGGAGCTGGCCGTGCATCATGTGGAACTTGTCGTACGTCGGGAACTTGGCCAGCGCCTGCCGGACGAGGTCGAGCGCCTCGGCCTTTCGCCCTTGGTTGCGCGCAAACACGGCCGACTTGAGCCACACGCGCGGCGAGCCCACCTCGATCCGGGCGCGCTCGAGCAGCCGCGCCGCCGCCACCTTCTGCCCCGTCTCGGACTCGAGCTTGGCCGCCGCCAGCGAAATCTCCTCGGAGCCGATGTTCTTGTCGAACGCCCGGATCAGCACCGCGCGCGCGCCCGCCACGTCCGAGGCGAGCCACTTTTCCTTGGCGTACATGAGCCACAGCGTCTCGGCCTTGGGGCAGTTGGTCACGGCGCGCTCCAGCAGCGACTCGAGGCTTTCGCGCGTGCCGTGCTGCTTCTCCAAATCCGCCGCCTGCCGCCAGATGTTGGCGCGGTCCGGGAAGACCTTGAGCGTGTAGGCCAGCAGCGACCGCGCCGTCTCGATGCACCCCTTGTCGCGCGCCGACTCGGCGTCCTCGACCCACACGGTGCGGCGGTCCTGCTCGTCGAGGTCGAGCTCCATGGTCGCCTTGACGATGGCCGCGCACGTCATCGGGCTCCCCTCGCCCTCTACCTTTTCCGCCTCGCGCAGCCACTGGTCTCGGCTGAGGACGGCGCCGGCCTTGCGCAGCGCGTTGACGGCGGCGGCCATGGTCTTGTCGACGAGCGCCTCTTTGGCGTCAGTCTCCTCGATGAGGCGGCACGCGGCGATCCAGATCTCGTGCGACGTCGGAATCGTCTTGCGCGCCTCGTTGAGCACCTTTTTGGCGTCGGCCGGCGTCGACAGCCGGGCCAGGGCGAGCCACAGCTCGATGCTCATCGGGATCGCGCCCACCGCCCCCGACAGGAGGATCCGCGCGTCCTCGGGGTTCTCCTCGAGATTGACGAGCTCCTTCCACAGCTTGACCGAGTTGGGTATGTACTCGAGCGACTTGCGCAGCACGCGCTTCTTGGACTCGGGGTCGTTTTCCAGGTCGACGGCCTTGAGCCAGATCTTGACCGACTGGCTGAGGTGCTGGACGGCGCGGGCGAGGATGACCTTGGCGTTGTCCTTTGTGTTGAGCCGCGCGTTTTCGAGCCAGACGTCCTCGTTCTTGGGGCACTGCTCGCAGCCCTGCTGGATGATTTTGCGCGCCGTCGCCATCTTGCCCGCCACCTCTTCGACGCGTGCGGCGGCGATCCAGCCAGGCGCGTGCTTTGGGTTGGTCTTGATGACCGAATCGAGGAGGGCGCGGGCCTTTTTGATGTCGCCGATCTCGGTGTTGGACTTGATGGCGACCGACGAGAGCTCGGTGAGGTAGCCCTTGGGGTCGACGGTCGAGGCGCTGCCGGACGCCATCGACGACGACGACGAGGCCTGGTCGAGCTGGTGGCTGAAGATCTTGTTGCGCGCCGAACCGATCTCGGTGAGCGAAGTCATGGCGCCGTCCGGGACGCTCGAAGCGGCGCCGTCGGCGTCGTCGGTGACGGTGCTCTCGACGACATTCCTGGCGGCATTGCCAAGGAGCACGCTGTCCGGGATGGCAATGGATCGGGTCTCGCGCGCCTCTCTTGCGGCGGCGGCCTTGCGCTTCTTGCCCGTGATGTTTCCGGCCTCGGGCAGCGCGGCCCACTCCTCTTCGGTGACGGAGCTGAGCCCGCGCTTGAGGTCGGCGAACTGGGCCTGGATCTTTGGGCGCTCCTTGCGCATCTTTTCCATTTCCTCCTTTTCCCTCTGCTCCCTAAACTTGCGCCTGCGCTCGTCCATCTGGCGGTCGACGTCCTCCCAGATGCGGTCAGCCTCCTCGTCGTCGCGATCGTAGGCGGTGCCCGCAAAGAGGCCGGTCTCGTTCTCCGGGTCCTGGTAGCGGCCGTCGTCTTCCTCGTCGTCGCCGCCGCCGCGACCTTCGTCCTTGTCCTTTTTGGCCGACGATGCAGAGGACGAGGCCTGGCGTGCAGGGCCGATATCGGATCGGGTGGTGAAGCCGGATGCGCCACGGCCCAGACCGGCGACGTAGCCCGGCGGTGCCTGCATGCTCAGGAAGGCGAGCTTGTTGGGTTTGTTTTGCGCCATAATTGAGGCGGGTGCGGCCGGGTTGCGGCCGCTAGTGATGCCGGGGAGCGCTGCGAATGCGGAAGTGGTAGGTGAACGGTGGGACAGCGTTCGGGACGGCGCTGGCTGACTGGCGAGAAAGAGCCAGGTGGGAGGGTCCGGTCAGTCGCACCGTGTGGCTCTGGTGACGATATCTGGGATGGTGTGTTGAGATAGGCAGGCGATGGTGGCGGTGGGCAGAGGGGCGTTTACGGCTGAGCCGCGAATGGGTGCAAGGTGGGAAGGCAAAGTGCGAACGGCCCGGCCTCGAGGTCGACCCTTCTTGACAAGCGGGCCTGGCCTCGCTCCACTTTTCTCGCCTTTCCATCATCCCTCTACCGATGTCAGCGTGGTCTGCCTACCACCCCGATGTACCCCAGATCGGGCGCGGATCAGACGGCTGAAGCGCGTCGGTTACCTCGGCCCGGCTTGTTGGCTAAGCCAGGCCGACGGCGGGTCACAGATCGACCAGCGTCAACCAGGCCTGAAAGCGTGGGGCCCCCCCTTTGCCTTTCTTCGCACCCTGTGCCAGCCTCGACTCGGGTACCATCATCCTTCTCACTTCGCCCCCACCCTAGCCTGCCCGACCTCGGTCCCCCTTCCTCTCCTCCTCCCTCACCAGCTCCACCACATCGACGGACCTCGCCGCCAACACAGCCATGGCCGCCAACGCAGCAGCATCCGCCGTCGCCCACGGCATCAAGTCGGTCGGCGTCGTCGGCGCGGGCCAGATGGGCCTCGGAATCGCCTATGTCGCCGCACTCCGCGCAGAGATCCCCTCGGTCCTCCTCTGTGACGCAAGCCAGGCCCAGCTCGACAAGGGCGTCTCCTTCTTCGAGTCACTCCTCAAAAAGGACGTCGGAAAGGGAAAGATCAAGCAGGACCAGGCAGACCTCGCCCGATCCCGCCTCATCACCGTCCCCAGCGTAGAGGATTTCGCCAGGGACTCGTCCAAGACGCCCGACATGGTCATCGAGGTGGGTAGCAGTGGCGCGCCGCGTCCTCTCCTTCCTGATCTTCCTCCTCTTGTCTCATCTGCAGTTGCCGCGCTGAGCTCTTGAAGCGGCAGTCACGCTGATCCCGATCTCGTCTCTCTGCTTGCCCTCGTCCCCACCGATCAGGCCGCGACAGAGAACCTGGCCATCAAGCAAAAGATCTTTGGCAGCCTCGCAACCCACCTGCCCCTCACCACCATCCTCGCCACCAACACCAGCTCCATCAGCATCTCCAAGATTGCCGCATCCGCTGTCCCCGCCGGCGCCAAGCCCGGCAGCGAAGAGGCGTGGAAGGGACCCGCACGCGTGAGTCTCCCGTTTGGTGATTGCTGCAAGCTCGCCGTTTGGTCCGTCAGCCGGCTAATTGCAGCTCCTGCCTCCGCTCCCACTCCTCTCCACCCACCCATGTACGACCGCAGGCGCTCGGCGTGCACTTTTTCAACCCGGTTCCCGTCATGAAGCTGGTCGAGATCATCCCTGCGCTGCAGACGTCGCCCGACGTGCTGGAGCGCGCCCAGGCGTTTGCGCGCGCGTGCGGCAAGGAGATTACGACGTCCAAGGACGTTCCAGGCTTTGTTTCGAACCGCCTGCTGATGCCCTTTATCAACGAGGCCATCATGACGCTCGAAAAGGGCATCGCGACGAAGGAGGACATTGACACGACGCTCAAGCTGGGCATGAACCACCCCATGGGCCCGCTCACCCTCGCCGACTTTATCGGCCTCGACACGTGCCTGAGGTGAGTAGCAGCGGCAGGGTCTTGCTCTTCCGGCAGGGTCTTGCTCTTCCAGCAGGGGCGAGGCATCCATCCAGACTGACACGCCATCATCGTTGAATTCCCGCGCGACGCCGACAGCATCATGGAGACCATGTACCGCGAGACGTCCGACTCCAAGTACCGTCCCGCGGTGCTGCTGGGCAGGATGGTGGATGCCGGCTGGTACGGCAAGAAGAGCGGAAAGGTGAGTGCCACATTCTGAGTGCGAAGCATGGGAATGGGGGTTTGGCCCGCCGAAGAGGGTCAGCTTACTGACAAGGCCAAGGATTCGCCGCCTCTCGTCTGTGCCTGCAGGGCTTCTACGACTACTGAGCCGCCGCGCTGGCAGACGCGGTCGTCGCATTGCCGTTCTCCTGTAATGCCAAATGAGCTCTTGACGATCGATTGCGGGTAGCTGCAGCTGCCACTCCTCGTGCGTGCGCTTGTGGCTGCGCATCGACGGCGGCGGCGGTAGTCGTGGCCGGTTATGGTGGTGGTGAGAGTTGAGAGAGAGAGATGTCGAGGCTCGTGCGAGTGCAACGGAGCCGAGGTTTAGCAGCCCCGCTGTGCCGCCGCCACGTAGCAGCATGCGCCGCTGGACCCTGGCTGGCCACTCGGGCCTGGGCCAGCACAGCCAGCAGGCAAGCTAGGAAGAAGCAAGCAAGCCAGGCCAAAAAAATGTGGGGTCGGGACGGGCTGCCACCCATGGCTCGCTCGTCGGTCGCGGCCTCTTCGCCACCACCACCCACCAGCGCACCACCGTCCTCGATCGACACGTCATCGCCGCCCTCACCCATCACAGGCCACCGCACAGACACTCTCTCCGGCCACCGCAAGCTATCACCCCTCGAGGACACCGCCATGGACCTCGACTCGCTCCCGCCGATAACGGCCATCTGGGGCGGATTGGCGGTCGGAGCGGCGCTGCTCGAGTACACGTACACCATTACGTCGTTCCAGCTCTTCTACACGCCCTCGCTCGTCTTCCACAAGCTCGAGGTGTGGCGGCTTCTGACGACGTTTGTCTACTTTGGCAACTTCTCCATCGACTTCCTCTTCCACCTCTTCTTCTTTATGCGCTACTCGCGCATGCTCGAGGAGGACGCGGCGGGTACGCGCTCGAGGGGCGGGAGAGCGACGTATGTCTACATGCTCCTCGTGTGCGCCACCCTCCTCGTCCTGCTCAGCCCCATCGTCGGTCTCCCCTTTCTCGGAAGCCCGCTCGCCTTCGTCCTCGTCTACGTGTGGAGTAGAAGGAACCGCCACGTCCGTCTCGGCCTCTTTGGCATACTCGTCATCACCGCTCCCTACCTACCCTGGAGCCTCGCTGCGTTTGGCTGGTTGATCAACGGCGATATCAAAGCCGTCATCGGTGACCTCGTCGGTATAGCCGTCGGCCACTTTTGTAAGTCGTCCTCGTCCTCGTCCTCGTCCTCGTCCTCGCCCTGCCTCGCGTCGCCCTGCCTCGCATCGCATTCCCGCCTTACCGCTTTCCTTCAGCTGAACACCACGCTTTCCGTCCCCCTCCCGACACCCTTGCAGACTACTTCTTCGTCGACGTCTGGCCGAGGGAGTACAAGTCGGGCGGACGAAACCACCTTAGGACCCCAGAGATCCTGTGCGTCGCAAAGCGTCGTGCTGTCGGCCTTTCGTCGTGGTCCTACCGAGCCGAGCGGAGCTGACCCCATCCCTCGCCCTTCCCTCTCGCCTCTCCCTCCACGTCTGTCCGCCTCCGCAGGGTACGGCTCATCGACGGAGACAGGTAGCGCCGCGTAACCCCCCTCCGTCCTCCGTCGAGTGGCCAAAGGACCGCCCCCTTCTCGCCGTTTGCTTCATCTGTACTTTTATCGCATCTCAACCTCGCATCAGCCTCGGATCTGGGGCCGGCTCTTGGCCGTCCACGCAGGCCGCATCGAATGGCATCGCATCGCTTCGCTTCGGTTCATCGACTACTCGCGGTACAGCATCGATTTGCCTGGCAGGAAGCCGCCGCCCGGTCCCGTGCCTGCCGCACCGCTGGGTCCCACCATCGGACCCCCTCCTGCGCCTCCAGCAGCGGTTGCAGCGGCGGCGGCGGTAGCGGCGTCGGCCAAGGCCTGCAGACTCGGCGGCAGCACCTCGTCGACTTCCTCGACGACAATGTCGCCCAGCTCCCTCGCCGCCCTGACGGGCACGGCCTCCTTGATCGTGCTTGGAGGCATGGCGTCGCCGATCCCTGCCCCCTCTCCCGACCCGACGCCGTCCAGGCCCTCTCTGCGATGCTGCTGTCGCTGCTGCTGCTGCTGCTGCTGCGTCGAGACCGACGCGAGACCCGGCTCATTCTGCACCTCGAGGTCCGGATCAAAGAGCTCCCGCCCGGCGATGCCGCGCAGCACGGCGAGGGCGCCCACCTTGCTCGTCACCAAGTTGGCATGCGCGCACGTCTGGCTCGTCACGCACGACGGACAGCCCTCGGCGCATCCGCACGCCTCAATGACGCTGATTGCGATCCGCAGCAGCCCGTCGAGGTGACTAAAGGCCTTGGCGCAAACGCCGCCATTCTGGCCGGGCGTGTCGTAGAAGATGAGGCGGGCGGGCCGCTTGCGCGAGCTCGGCCGCGCGGCGTACTCTTTTTCCGCGATCTTGCACTCGGTCTTGACGTCGCCCGCCATCGAGACGACAAACATGGGCGTCAGGCTCAGCAGCGCGTGCTCGGCCGCATGGATGGCCGCCGCCGCATTGATCCGCATCGCCACCAGCGCCTCGACGATCCAAAAGGGGACGTCGATCCACATGCCCTGCGTGTGGCGGACAAATGGCGGGCAGTCGACCTCGACGGCGTCGAGGATGTTGGCGCGCCGGTCCACCTTGAAGTAGCCCCACACGTACGACGCAATTGTCACCTTGCCGTAGTAGGCCAGGTGCGGCGAGCCGCGCAGCCGGCGGATGCGGTACGTCTCCATGGCGTCGGTGTCGGTGTGGTCGCGCGGCCGGGTGTGGTAGTTGACGTCGACCTGGACCATGCGCGCGATCCGCGTCTCGTGGCTGATCTCGCGGCAGATGTACGACAGGCCCTGGTGCATGAAGACGGCGCCCTCAAAGGCCTCAAAGATGGCGCGGTCGATCTCGACCTCCTCCATCACCCGCGGCGGCCGGCCGGGCGTGTCGTCGACGTAAGCGTACGTCACCTGGCGGGCACCCCGGATCGCCACGTCGCGCGATGGGTTCGGCCGAAGCTCCTCGCGGCAGTAGTAGTAGCCGCTCCCGTCGCCCTGCAGCCGCGTCTTGCAGAGCGTGGCGAGGTGCTCGCCAAAGAAGCGTGTGTCGTCCTCGACGCTGATGGGCATCTCCTCGGCCGCACACTGGAGGTGCGACTCGAGGACAAAGTCGTTGGCCAAGTCGACCGAGAGCGCGGCGTCCGGCTGGACAAAGACCTCCTCCGGGAAGCGCATGTAGTGCTGGTCGAGGGGCCACGGGTCGGCGATCAAGACCGCAAGAGAGTCCTTCTGGCGTCGCCCGGCGCGGCCCGCCTGCTGCCGCAGGCTCGAGATCGAGTACGGGAAGCCGAGCATGATGACGGCGTCGAGGCTGCCGATGTCGATGCCGAGCTCGAGCGCGCTGGTGGCCACGATGCCGAGCAGCTGGCCCTTGAACATGTCCTGCTCGATCTTGCGCCGGTCCTGAGGCGAGTAGCCGGAGCGATACGACATGACTTTTTCGGCGACGTCGTGGCGGTCCTCGAGCAGCAGGTCGTTGCGGATCTGGCGCATCACAATCTCGCACGTCCGGCGCACCTTTGTAAAGACAATGGTGCGCACGCCGCGCTGGATGAGGTGGCGGAAGACCTTGGAGACTTCGGCGTAGGAGCTGACCCTGCCCTGCGCCGGATCCGTCTCGTCAATCATCGGCGGGTTCCACAGCAGCCATTCCTTTTTGCCGGCGGGCGAGCCGTCGTCGGTGACGACCTCGACGTCCTCAACGCCAAACAGCGTCTGCATGTGCTCGCGCGGGTTGGCCACGGTGGCGCTGCAGCTGACAAACTGGATCGAGTCGTTGCCGAGCGCGTTGCAGATCCTCCGCAGCCGGCGCATGATGAAGCTGACGTGCGCACCAAACAGGCCGTTGTAGGTGTGCAGCTCGTCGACGACGACGTAGCGGAGGTTGCGCAGGAATCGGCGCCACAGGTCCTCGGACGGCAGGATCGACTGGTGCAGCATGTCTGGGTTGGTGAAGATGACCGAGGCCCGCGACCGGATGTCGTTGCGCAGCTCGCGGTCGGTGTCGCCGTCGTAGGTGGCCACCACGGCGCCCTCGAGGCCCTCGCAGTTGGATAGAAAGTCCTGCAGGGAGCGCCGCTGATCCTGCGCCAGAGCCTTGGTAGGGAAGATGTACATGGCCGTCGACTCGGCGTCTTGCTCGAGCGCCTGGAGCACGGGCAGCTGGTAGATGAGAGACTTGCCCGACGAGGTCGAGGTCGACACGATGACGTTCTTGCCCTCGCGCAGCGCGTTGAGCGCCTGCGCCTGGTGCGTGTAGAACTCCTCAATGGAGCGCGTCGCGTACATGGCCGTGACTACGGCCTCCGAGAGGCGGTAGTGGAGCTGGGCGTGGCGTGCTTGCCTAGCCTCGAACGTCTTGTGGCCGCCGGGAACGATCTGGTCCTTCCACCAGGGTGCGAGCTGCATCTCTTCGATGATTTCGGCGATGCTGGCGCGCTGGTCCGGGTTCTGCATCAGGAACTCGAGCCGGATCCGCCTCTTTTGCGGTGTGTCGCCGGTAGTGCGCTCGGCCGTCTCCGGGTTCAGAGGTACGTGGTCGTGGGCGGCATCGACCAGCAGCTGCACGGGATCCTCGTCCTTGGCGGCGCACGCGGCCAGCAGCTCTAGCACCGCCTGCTCAAATTTGAAGTTGCGCTTGCCGATCAGCTTCATCATCGAGTTGGTCGAGGGCATCGAATACAGCTTGGGGTTGCGCTTGAATTTTTGATAGCCACCCTCTTCGCGGCTGGGTCCCTTTCGCATGCCCGGTCGGCTGCGGTTGGTGGCCTTGGCCGTCGACAGTGTGCCATCGTTGAACTCGAAGAGGAGGACGTACGGGTCCTGCGCCTTGGCCTTGCCATTGCCACTGACCCGCCCGTTGCGGTGACTGGTCTGTTTGGCGATTTCAAAGTCGGCGGGCGGGAGGAATGCCGGACTCGGCCCGGAAGCGTACACGTCGCCCTCGGGGGCCACGTCCTGGAAGCCGCCTCCAGAATCGGCGACCGCTGAAGCGCCAGACGGCATCGTGACAGTCGCGCTCGAGGGCGCGGAGGATCCGGCGTCGTCGGTAACGGCGGCGCTCCTATCGTCCTCGCCTCGGCTTCCGCTTGCGCTGCCGCCCACGCCGAGCGCAGCTGCTACGGCTTCCTCGCCGGCAACAGCCTCGGCGGCGCGCTCGTAGGCCTGGTCGATCCTGCTGCCCCGCCACGTCTTCTTTTTGGTCGCAGGCGTCTGCTCGCCGGCGTTGCCGCGGGCGTCCATGTGCACTTCGAGCATGTCGGTCTCGACGTAGGCAAAGTTGACAAGGTCGCCGCAGAGGCTCTTTATCTGGGCCATGTCAAAGATCTCGAGGGGCCGCTTTGTGAGACCCTCGACGCTGCTCTTGATGGTGTCAAAGGTGGTGACCATGTGCTTGCGGGCCGAGCAGAACGAGTAGACGGTGTTGACCGCCTTGAAGGTCTGCTCGAGGCGGAGGAAGTGCTCGGGCCACGGTGCATCGCGTTTCAGTGCGGGCTTCTCGGCCGGTGGCGGTGCCGGGGTGGCAGAGGCTGACACAGCAGCCTGGTCGCTGTCGGCTGGAGCGACTGAGCTGGCTGCTGCAGTGGCGCTGCGAGCGGGAGTGCGACTGGCTGCAGTGCGGCGCCTCTTCTTTGCGGGTGGCGGGGGTGGCGTGGAAGGGCCTGGCTCGGCGGCTCGTTGGGGCGGGTCGATGATCTGCACGTCGTCGTCGCTGTCGTCGTGTTCTGCCTTGGCGATGTTGGGAGTTTCTGCTTCAGACTCGGACTTTATCTCGATGATTTCGGGCTCCGGCTTGACGTTGATGGTGGCGGCGCTTGAGGCCGACTGGGCTTGTCTGGAGGCCAAGGGCGTGCCTGATGTTTGCTTGGCCCGCTGGTCGATCTGCTGTGCGGCAGCTCGCCTTCGAGACCCTGCTACGGCGGCTGCTGTACGCTTGCTGGCTTCTCTTCTCCTCTTGTCCGAGGGCAGCAAGGTGGGATCCTCCTGGGGGCTGTCGTCGTCATCATCATCGTCGTCGTCGTCGTCGCCAGGTGCGAGCGAGTCGCGGCCGAGGAAGAGGGGACGTTGGGCGTGATCCTCGCCGTTGGTGGCGTCTCGCTGGAGGGCTGAGCGGTAGGGCCCTGCGCCTGCGCCATGCTGACGGGCGAGGGTGCGCTCGTGGAGGATGCGCTGGCCCTTGCGTACGAGTTTGGGCATTTCGGTCGAGTGAGGTTCGCTACGTGGACGCTGGAGGCATGGTCGTGGCTGTGCCTTCCAGCCAGCGAGCCGATACGGGCGCTGAATAGGATGCGTTGCCGGGAAGACGTCGAGAATCGGTTTGCAGAGAGAGGCAAGGCTAGCGGTGGCCAGATAGACCGAGTGTGACGGAGCGACAGAGGGGATCAGCAGGCCAGGCCAGGCCTCCCAGAGAACGCGCTGCAGGCTGGCCTGCTCTTTACGCCATACGCAGCAGCGACCCTGAGCTGACCCACACGCAGGCAGGCAGGCAGCACGACACCTCCACACTCTCTCCTTGACCTGTTTTCCGGCCGAGTGAAGCCCCGTTCTAAGCCCTTGCCCCAGCCAGGCTCGGATTTCGCTCGCAATTTGGCAGCTCGTTCTTGATGGCCCCAGCAGGCAAGCCTCTCCCCTGCAACCGCAGCCACCCCTTTTTCGCAGGCCAGCGTAAGGCAGAGGCAAGGCAAAAGGTTGCTCCCAGCCAGCCGCAAGAAAAAGACAGGCCACAAAAAGGTCATCGCTCGCCCTGACCTCGCACCTTCCCTTTTCTCCACCACCTCCTCCTACGCCCCTTCCCCCGGCCGTCGTCTGGTGACAACGACAGACGACGGCCCCGTCATGGGCCAGCCACACCGTGAGTACCTGTCTCGTCCTCTGCTCTGATTCTGCAGAACCTCTGTCGTCGTCGCCGCCATCATCAAGCACCGCCGCCGCCGCCGCCGCCATCACCGTCACACGGGATCGAATGATTACCTTCTTTAATTAGACTCGGAGGAGTTGGCCCCTGCAAAGGCCTTCGTCCGGTGACAACTTTGCATAACAACTTTAATATACCATGACGATCCCTCGACGGCGACGGCAAAGGTCGCCCATCCCAGCGGCGGCCAGGGCGGCAGCGACGACGGCGACGGCGAATGGCGAGGTCACTGCCAGCAATGACTCTTTTCGGGGTCCAGTCGGCTGACGTGCTCTTCTGCTCGCTGCTTTCTACCCTTCGTTCGATAGGTCATCACAGGTTTCGATGATGCCGCGCTGCGACGGACGACGCCGGTCTCGGGATTGGTGTGGTGGCGCGGGTCCTTGGTCGCAGTTTGGCCCTGCCTTGTCAGCCTCACTTGCTCGGCCTGTTGTATATCTCTGTGCCCGTGCTTGCTGTGAATGAAGGCATTATATTGGTGCTGTCGATCTACTACACAGGTCGTTGCCGCCGCGTGTTGTCTGCGGCCGGCTGGCTGGTTGGCCGCGTCCTCTGCCTTCTTGTGCGGTGCCTTGGCTCGCCTCGGATCCGAGTACTTTGCTTCCACGCCCTGACGTCGTCGGTCGGCTATGCGGCAGTCACCGGGGCCCGAGGCACGCCTGCTTGCCTGCCAGGCCTAGCTTGCCCCGCACCCTGTTCAGCCCGCCGGCTTGCCTCCCATTCGTCCTTGCCAGCACCACCACCACCATCAGCCATCGTCCCCCGCAACGCTACGCTGCGCATCCACCGTCACCACCGCATCGACCATGGCGAGCATCAACCCGTTCTCCCTGCGCAAGCAGCTGGCCTTCTACGGCGCCTACCACACCGACACGGTCAACGTGCTGATCCACGTCGTCGGCGTGCCCTCCATCATCTTTGGCGTCTGCGTGCTGCTGGCATCGCGCGGCTCCCTCTTCCTCAGCGTCCAGCGCACCTCGCCGCTCCTGGCATCCTACCTCTCCCTCTTCGGCTCCCAGCTGGCCAGCATCCTGCCCAAGTGGGCGTTTGAGCACGCCAGGCTCGACGCATCCACCGTCTTCATGTCCTCCTACCTCGCCTACTATACCGTCCTCGACCCCGTCGCCGCCACCCTCTACACGCCAGTCTGGTACTCGATCTGGTACGGCGCGGAAACCCTGCTCCAGACCCGCCCCGACGTCGCGGTCAAGGTGGCCAGCATGATCTTTGTCGGCGGCTGGATCGCACAGTTCTACGGACACGGCGTGCACGAGAAGCGCGCCCCCGCCCTCCTCGACAACCTCCTCGGCGCCGTCGTCCTCGCTCCCTTCTTTGTATGGCTCGAGGTCATCTTCCACCTCGGATACCGTCCCCAGCTGCAAAAGGACCTCAAGAACGACGTCGGCAAGCTCGTCACCCAGTTCAGGAAGGAACAGGCCGACAAGGAGAGGAGGAAGATCAAGTAGTTGCCCTGATCGAGCGAGGCTGCTGCACCTGACCGCATGCGCGTAGGCCGAATGGACGGCCGCCTTTCACTTCGATCGAGGACGTGAGACCGACTTCTGCAATTCGGAACAGGGCTGACTTTGACAAAAGTGGAAAGACAGAGAACGTGTGGAAGGGCTTGGTTAAGCCCAGGTCGAACGATAGAGATGATGGCACGGAACGCAGTAGAGCGGCAGCTAAGGAATGGCGTTGGCGGAAGCTCGACATTAGGCGAGATCAATGTCGTCGAGGCGAGGGGAAGTGACTGCTATGCTCGCCACAACGCCGCCGGAGGGAAGCATCGGGAAACGAGACGGAGATCGAGCAGGCAGCACGAGCGATGGAGTAGTGGGGCAAGCCGGCTCTCATCGCCCGCAACCGCCAGGGCAGGTGGGTCTTGGAAACTAGAGGCCGGAGGTTTTCTTGAGAGGATACAGCGGTAAGCCGTGCGGAGGTCACCAGGACCGGCCGCACGGAAACGTAGCGATGGCGGGGAAGGGTGCTGAACCGACGTCGAGGGTGCAAGGGGGCGGCCGCGCCCGCTTTATCTGGCCGGCAACGGCGTCACTTGTCGGCCACGACGGCGACGTCTCGTTTCCAGATCGAGTCAGCACCGACACCTGTGTAGAGGCAGGTAGCGCAGAAGCAGCCGCCGAGGCCAAACATCAGCGTTCCAACGTCTCCTCGCGGACCGTGATACAGGGCGCTCAGGTAAGTCGGACCAGGAACGAGACCCGGACTGGGGCCTGTCAGCTTACGAGTTCGCTCGGATCCCTTGCCATCGTCCCTTTCCTCGCCGGTGGATCGGGCGTTAATATCCGACGAGGTGCTTTTGCTGGATACCTTCTTGCCTTCGTCCTGAGCGTGGTCTTGCTGGCCACTGGGACGGGAGGCAGCCCTGCCGACGATGGCACCAACCGAACGCCTGATCCACTTCGAACCACGTCCACCGAGCGCCACCTGTCGGAGCGACCTCTTGACTCGATAAGGGATGTCGTTGTTGCAACCGCCGAGGCCGGGGAAGCACATCATGCCCATTGGCCTGCCCACGTTGTGCACGGAACCCTGACCACTGGCGCGAATCTGTCCCAGAGGTTCGGCCTTCCCTTCGGTGCCGGTGCCGGAGCCTTTGCCGCCTGGCACAGTGCTGGCTCCGCTTGGCTGCTGAGCGGCAGGCACCTCAGAGCTGCCACTGCTTCCGCCGCTGACCCGCGGGTCGGGTCGCTTGGGCATGTCGACCTTGACCTGCCTTCCATCGCGGCCGAATGTGGTCTTGGCGAATGCCTCAAGTGCCTGGGCAGTCCACATCCAGTGGACGTTGTTGCCGGTGCTCGCATCGCGCCTTTTGAGCGATGCTCCGCCTCCGTGTTTGTCTTCGTCGCCACCAGTAACCTGTCGAGACGACCTCTTGCGACGCATAACTTGGCTTTGCTCGCATGGGCCACCCATGCAGAGGTCGGTCATGAGCGTACGGGAACCGGAGCTACCGCCGGTGCTGGGGCTGACGCGCAGGCCCTCCCGGCCGCCCTGGGAGAGTTGCAGAGCGCTACCGCTCTGGTCGTAGGCGTCGGGCATGCGGATCTCGATCTGTCCGTCGCCGGCCTCGAAGGTCTCCTCGGCGACGGTCTTGAGCTCCTGTTTGGTCCACGAGTAGCTGGTCGTCTTGCTGTTGCTGCTGGTGTCGCGCTCCTCGAAGCTCAGCCCGCTGCCGACGCCGTCTCGCTTAACGGCGACCTCATGGTGTTGGCGCGGCGACTCGGCTCCGTGCGTGGTGGCCAGCACCTGGTAGTCGAGGATGGCAGGGGTGATGAGCAGGGCCGTCAAGGCCAGCGACATCCATCGGGACAGCTTGATGCGACCGGGCATCTTGCTCGTAACCCGGCCAGAGATCGGTCTCGAGCGCAGAAACGGTCGGGTGGTGTAATGCTTGGAAGGTGCTGCAAAAGACGGTTGGACCTTCAAGGAAGGATGCGTGCAGAGGAGAGGAAGAGCTAGACGCTGATGGGGATGCTGGAGGCAGAGGGGAAAGGAGATGCCGACGAGGGTGGGTGGACGAGGTCAGCGATGCCGGCGCGATAAAAGGAATGCAGACCCCTGCCTGTGGGTTGACCGACGCGCACAAAGGCGCTGAGGCCGAGGGGACGGCTAGGTGGGCGGTGAGGCAGTTGCGCAACACGTTCCGTTGTCGCCATTCTCACTCGAGCGGCCTCATGGCGGCCAGGAGGCCAGGCACACCCGCCGCCATTTTTGCCGGAGACCATCCTGCGCAGACAGGCTTTGCCTCGACGAGCGGCTCCGCTTAGCATGGTCAGCCACGTTCGTGCCGCATATTTGGCCGGCCGGGGCGAAGGTGTGCAGGATTATACGCCTCGCGCTGGAGATCCGCTTCGTCCGAATGGTGACCGGATGCCGAAGGGAAGCCCACGAGCATGGGAAAATCTCGTGTCTTCTGTGCCATCGATAAGGATGAGCGCCGTGTGCGATCGGTCGATGCTGGCGACAGAAGGAAGCGCAGAGTGGCAGTGACAGCCCCGCGGGTGGGGAAGGTGCGTACGTGAGTCGCGGCGAGGCAGCGAGGTGTATGGACCCCGTCTCATCTCGGAGAAGGGATGTAAGGGTGCGTGGGATTTTCTGTGGGCGCGAGTGTGTGGGAGCGTCGAGAGGCTCTGTAGCGACGGTGCATCCGATGTCGGCGAAGCTGCGCCGCGTCGCCATGGAGCGTCGAGATGAGCGGGCTGCACGCTGCGAGATGGGGATTGTTTTCGTGCGACGCCCATGGCCTGCCCCTGCCTGCGCAGTTGATACGGTCAGGAGGGTCGCGCTGACACCGGAAGCGGTGTGGCGATCGGTGCTGCGAGAGACGGCGTAGGTTGTGGCAGCAGAGGCAACGGTGCTGACGTGAAGTGACCTACCGTTGGCCCGCAGCGGTCATTGTCGCGACCAGCCAAGCAACCGACCCACTTTGGCGCCGAGGACGAGCAAGCATAGCAAGCTCAGCTTGGCAGCAAAGGCGGAGGTTGTGGTCGCGCGCTCAGCCCCGACCGGTGGTCGAGGCTGCGCCCTCAAAAGCAAGGAGAGGAGCCAGACACCCGCGGTGCCGCGGCAACCCCTTTGAGCTTTTTGGGCGGCGGGCCTTGCGAGGTCATGCATGGAAGCCGGCCTGCTCGAGCCTGCTTGAGCCTGCTGGCTTGCTTTTTTCGCTGGACCCTGACACGCACGCCCGCACCACCCGCGGCAACGATGCCCAAAGCGCGCTCCCTCGGCCTCTCCCGAGTGCTCGACGGCAACCTCAACCTATGTACCTCGACCCTACCTCGACCTTTGTCCCTACCGCCATCTTACCTATGGATCTGCCTCCTCTTGCTCCGCCTCTGGCATCTTCCCGGACTTGACTGCAACGGTGCACCGCAGACCACCTCGACCCTCGTTTGAACCCAACCCCCCTCCATCCCGTCGACTGCCCTCATTCGTCCCCCTTCTCGCCATCGCCTTCCACGCCGGGGCTGCGTGACCCTCGCTCGCACTTCCCTCGACCTGCCCACCGCTCGGTCGGCAACCTTGCCGGCCGATCCACCTGCAAACTTTGCATCTCTCGGCCCGCCATCCCAGCGTATCCGAGCGGCCTTCGGGGCGTCCATTGCAACAAGCTGCCGGCGGCACTCCTGATGGTGCCTTGAGGACAAGATAAGCTCATATATTGCTCAGGCACCAACACCCGCCCTCTCCTCGGGGCTTCCCGCACCTCGCCAGCATGGCTTCTGCCTGTATGTCGTCCGGTAGCATGGCCAGTGCTTCGTCGCCCTGGCGCAACGTCCAACCCCCTCCCTACCCACACCCTCGCCCCTATACAAGGTGCTACTGCGAGGAAAACGCCTACCTAGTCGTACAACACCTCGCCGAGTTTGCGCACGCACGGAATCAGCCAATAGAGAGGATCGGGGCAAGGCAGACGACCACCAGCAGCAGCAGCAACCCGTCCATCGCCAGGATTAGTCTCACGCGTACCAGCAGCATCAACGCTCCTTCCTCCCCCGAGCCTGCCACCGCTGCCACAAGCGCAGCCGGCGGTGGCGCATTCCAACTTGTATGGGATGTCCGCACCATCTTCATCAGCAACCGACGTAAATCGGTAAGTGGGGCCTCCGGTCCATGGTCCCGAAAGAGGAGGCGTCCTCAACCCCACCTCTCGGTCCGGCTGACCACCCGGCTTTGCTCGCCGCTCGACGTACCAGGTCGTCCTCTGGCAACAATGCGCAAGCTCGGCTCCTCCCGAGGAGCACTCTCCCGTCATCTGGGACTACCACGTCGTGGCCGCCCTGACCTGTACCCTCGTGCCAGTCGGCGTCCCAATCCGCGACGTCAAAGCAGATCGGCGCTCGCTCCTGTCACGCAAGGGCCACCAGAGGCAGCAAGATGAGCCGAAACCAAACGCTCTGTTTCAGTCCAGGACGTGGGTCTACGACCCGGATTCACGCCTCAGCTACACGCCTGCACAGCTCGAGGATCTCAAGCAAGCTGGTCCGTCTCTGCCCGTGCCGCAGCCCGTTCCACTGCACGACTACCTCGATGGCACCTTCAAACCGGCGCTGGTGGTTCAAGACCTCGTGCAACCCCACCTGCGGAGCTGCCTCCGCATCGTCGACGCCAAGGACCTCCTCGCCCACTTTGCCAGCGATCGCAGTCACATGCTGCTTCCTCCCATCGCCGCAACTGGGCAAGCCGAGACGTGGTCGTCGCCCCCGCCACCGTGGCCACCGCTCGTGGGTCATTTGGCCAAGGCGGCCAAGGTGACCAACAACCTCATGGAGCGATACGTTGCCATGTCACCGCCCGTATCGTCCAACAATGCTGCCAATGACGGCGATGCAGCATACGGCCAGGTGCTGGACGACTTGAGCTTCTTCTCGGGTGGCTGGACATCGACGGCGTCTCCTGGAGAGACCGTGAGGTGCGCGCGCATCGGCAAGCCGGCAGACCCGACGCCGTCTACGCGTTCGTCCTGGTCCCGCTTGAGCCTTCGTCGAGGTCGGGATCGAGCGCAGTCGCTGCCTTCTAGCCGCGGACGGCTAGGAGCCGTGCCGCCCCCCGCTCCCCCGCCGGACGCCCCTCTACCTCCGCTGCCGGCCTCGATGGTCGCCTCTGCGTCATCCTCATCTTCATTGTGTGCAGCGTCATCTTCGATATCCTCATCATCTGGCGGCACGACATCGCCGTCGCTCTCCGTGACCTCGCCAGACATCTCGCACGATTCCAGCGACGCCAAGGCAAGCACCGTCGTCGACGACGACGCGCGGCGCACCCGACCGAGATGTCCACCGCCGCGGCCATCTGGCTCCGCGCAGTCTTTCCCGGGCGCCCCCCAATCGGCGACTCCGGAGAGGGAAAGGCGGGGCGGCCGTGTCTCATCGCCCCTCTTTCCGGCCTACCTCGCCGCTTCGTCGCAGAAGCGCGCCGAGACCCCAGTTTCTCCCCTGACGCCACCGCCGGCGCCGTCTCGGTCCCAGTCGGACCGGGGCATGCTTGCCGTACCCTTCTCGGCGATGGTCAGGTCCGTCTCACTCGATGGGACGACGATGGCGGCGCAGAATCGGCAGGTCGACTTCTGAGTTCTCGTCCGGCTGCACCGGCATCGACAGCGAAGCCAGGATTGCGATCCATAAGCATTGAACCGAGCGCGGCAGACATCTAGGTGCTGGCGGTGTGATCGCGTCGGCCGGCGGCGGCGAAGGATGACTGCCTAAGCGGCCGGTTTCTTCTTGCGCTTGACGCTCAGAACGTTAGTTTGCGGCCTTCCTCCGTCAGCCGAGCCAGTACCGCGGCGCCCACCGTTATCAGCCTGCTGTTGGGCCTGTTTCCGCTTCACCTCCTCCTCGACCTCCTGGACCTGCGCCGCGCTGGGAGCTGCCAGTTCTATATCCTTCCAAATGATACCACGACCCACCATCTCTTCCCCGCCCGCTGCGTTTGCGTGCCCGTTCTCGCCCCGATCGTCTGCCTGCGATGTCGCGGCGGAGGCGGCCACGACGGCGGCGAGACCGCCTTTGCGCACCACGGCCTTGTTGACTTGCTCGTCCCACGCCTTTGTGAGCTCCCGGGCATTCGCTTCCTTGTCCCACTCGCAGACGTCGCGCATCAGCCTCTTGAAGACGAGATCCTGGATCGTGGGATGCGGGAGCGAGAGCGGCAACGACGCAGGCGGTACGACTGTCGTCGTCGTCCCTGCCGCCGCCGTCGTCACTTGCGGTTGGGCCTCAGAGGAGGATGGGTGGGGCTGGGTGAAGAGACAGACCAGGACACCGACCGCGTTTCCGGAACAGCACTCTTGTCGGAAGCCCATGCGGATCCAGAACTCGTCGATGGATAGGTCGTCGAGCGATCTTCGCTCGCGCATCTGGCCGCGCAGGATGGGCAGAGGCGTCATCTTGGTGCTGCTACTCGCGGTCGACGTGGTAGCGGTGATCGAGCCGATGCTGCCGATTGGCGCGGCGAGAGACGTGGCCGTGGCTGGTTCCTGCGATGGCGGCGAGGTGGAGGACGAGGACGGACCCGGCGAGCCGTCGTCGAGCTTGGCCCGTTTGGAAGCTGGCTCGCCTCCGCCGCCGTCAGCATTCGCACGCTGACTTGTCCCCTCAGTGCCATCTGCCTCGCGCCCGTCTTTCGCGTCCTCTTGCAGGCCCTCGGCGGCGGTGGCGGCGGCCTTTTCGACCTTCTTCCATCCGGCATGCTCATGGGCATCCCGCTGGAGCTCGTCCATGAATCTCGTCTTGGGGTCATCCGAGAAGTGGGGCATCAGGGTCGAGATGCACCGAACCTTCTTCGGGTCATAGCCCGGCTGAGCCGGATCCGTCTGCGCCTCCGCCGGTCCATCCTGGCCGAGCGAGGAGCGAGCCAAGGCCGAGCGCTGCCAGTGGAGTGGGAGCGGCGGCAAGTCGGAGGGCGAGCAGGAGGCTCCCTCGGCGCTGTAGGGGTGACCGTAGACCCAACCGGCCTCTTGAAGCGTCTGCTGCTTGGATGGTCGTGTGGCCTCGGCGGTAGGGTTGGAGGTGGAGGCGGAAGGGACGGAAGGAGCAGGAGGGAGCGGCAGAAGGACGTGGCTCTCCAGCCGATTGTAGCCGGGTACGAGGTAGAACGCCCTCGCATCTGTGCCTAGCTGCTGCTCCATGCCGTTTGCCTGGCCGCCTGATCGATGCGGACTCTTCCGCGAGGCCACGATGGCATCGCTCATCACATCCCTCCACCAACGGATCAGCCCGCCGTCGCTGAGGACCTTCTTGCGTCCGTTCTCTGGACTGCCAGGGAAGAGGTAGGCGCGCTGCGATCGCGCGAGGATGTGGACCGCCAAATGCCTCACTTGGGTCGTGGCGACATCGCTGCGTCTCCAGTGCTTGAAGGTGGAAAAGTGCTGCACGAATGCCGAGGAGAGCTGTGCGGTGAGGGTGTTGCCGTACGCCACGCCTGGACCCAGCGTCTTTTCCGCCAAGCCGGCTCGCAGGGAGGGCGGGAGGGAGGCGGGAGCATACCCCGTCGTGTCGAGCTTGGAAATGTAGAGGACCGCGCTGCCGTGCTCGGGCAGGGTGTAGAGGAAGGCTTCCAGGGCGTAGATCAGGGTGGCTTGGGGCGAAGCAGCGGCGGCGGCGGCCGCCGCCGCATCACGGGGCGACCAGCTGGCAGTGACGACGATGTGTTCGAGATGAGCAGAGACGGGCGACGAGTTGCGGCTGGAATCGAGATGGTGCGGGTGGATGTGGGCAAGCGGGTAGAGGGACTTGACGGCCCGAGGCACCGAGACGAGCGTGTGCAGCCGCACCGAGCCGGCCTCGGCGAGCGGCGGCGGCGAGGAGCGCAACGACGACTCGAGCGTCTCTAGTAGCGACATTCCGTTTCGGGTTATCGACGAGGCGCCAGGCGTGAGATGGAGCAGTGATGGTTTGGGAAGGAGCGGGAGCTGAAGGTGTATGTGCGAGGAAAGGCGGGGGGAGCACGGACACCCACCCACCAGCAAAGCGCGGGCCACCAACAAACAGCCCGCGTTTTTAGCCAGCCGCGCCCGAGACGCGCCTGTGCGGTCGCGTTGAGAGACAGGCAAGGCCTCGGCAGGCGGACGGGCCACAGGCAGGCAAGCTCGCGTGGCAAGCCTGGCAGGCAGACTCTCTCCGCCGTGACCGAACTCCGAAGCCTAGCGCATGCGAAGCCAAGCGACTCCACACTGCAGTTTCACAACCTCGATCGCGACAAGACCAGAGCAGGAAGCGCTTGATCCTTTGGGATTCTGAAATCACGGACTCATCGTTGACTGCTGGCCGCTGCTACATGGTCGCCGCGCGGTACAGACTCTGAGATGCTACTACGGCCGCTTCTTCCGCGCCAGTTTCGACCACGTCCTTTTCCGAAGACCACGTCTTGGTCCTGCGTTTTTCCACTCAAGAAATTATTGCTTCAGGCCTTCTCGCCAATGACCTCGCCCTCCTCGACCTCGAGGCGGTCGAAAAGCTTGATGGCCTCGTACGCCGCCTTCTGGCCGCTTCCAATCATGCCGCCAAACGAGGCGCCCATGCGCGGGTGGCCGTCGTGCTCCGAAAGCTCCATGCCGCTGACAATGATGCCGGGGAACACCTCGCGCGTGTGGTTGACGATCAGGCCTGCAGAGCGGGAGGCAGGGCAGCTCGACAGGGTCAGCTTCTGGCCTTCGTTCCAGTGGCAGCGACAGGCGGGTAGACTCACCCTCGGACTTGTTCATGTCCATCGGCTTCATGTCACCCAGCTGGATCAGACCCGAGCTGCTGAGGCGCTTGACACTGAAGGCGCCGAACGGGCCATCGTGACCGCACGCTCCGATGATGACCGGGGCGGTGATGGCTAGAGCGGTGCAACAGCGGCAGCGGAGGAGATTCACGTGGGCCGGACTCGTGACTGTGTCAGCGGTCGATCATGACAGAGGTTGATCGCCCGACGCGACGTTTAGACTCACTCTGAGGGTCCATGCAGGACTGGAGGCCATGGGCCATGGTAACGAGGGTCTGTGATGTCGAGCAAGCGTGGGCACAAGTCAAGAGGAAACAGGGCAAGATCGAGGATCAGCACGGCTCATGCACCAGCTTGCAATCGCTGCCTTTCGAGGGCGATCAATGGGGCCTGCCGCAACATACCCAGTTGGTCACGACACCATTGACGCGCTGGACGCCCTTGGCATCCTTCTTGATGATGAGGTCCTCGCAGCAGGTGGCGTTGAAGAGCTTGACGTTGGGGAAGGCCAGCAGCTTCGACATGAGGGTCGAGGTGAAGAGGGCAGCGTGCTTGACGACGACGTAAGCGCCTTCGTCGTCAAAGGGGACGCCGATCTCGGTGAGGAGGTTGTGAGCCGGCTTGCGAATCACCATGCCAGACATGAGCTGGCCTCCGAGCCATGCGCCACCACCGGGAGCGACCGAGGCCTCGAGGATGGTGATGCGCAGGTCGGGTCGGTTCTTGGCCAGCGTGTAGCCAGCCGTCAGTCCAGCGCTGCCGGCACCGACGATGACCACATCCGAGACGGCGGCATCCATCATGTCCTGCATGTACCTGGGTTAAGGGTAGGGGTCGAGCGGGCAATAGTGGAGCGGGACGACGCAGTCAGAATCGTAGAATATCGCCACGCGGAGCAGGGCGCGAGCAACGCAACCTCTGCGGATGGGCAGGGGATTCGACATCGTTCGGCCCGGCCGCGATGGAATGCGCTGCAACACAGGGACCTATGGCCTATTCCCCCCGCTCAGGCCATACGGAACTCCGCTGTGTCAAGATCCACGTTGAAGGCGCTTGAGGCTTGCTCACCTGCTGGTCATGGCGCGGCTCGTGTGGCTCTCCTTGATTTCGGCGAAGGCGTAGTTGCCCTCGAAGTCCTCAACAGGCTCCTGGCCGGGCTTGATGGCGACATACTGCTGGAACTTGGCAGTCGGGGCGGCGGTACCGTAGCTGCCACGCGAGGCGGCAATCTGCTGCTTGATGGCGGCGGGCGTCGAGTCGGCCTCGCCGGCGACCGAGGGGTTGATGAAAGAGGCGGTGGGAGGAGCCATGGTGTCAATTGATCGAGTGTGAGATGCGGCTTGTGTCGGTAAGTGGTGTATACCGTTGGTAAGCGGTGCTAGAGTAGTGGCGATGGTCGGGTGGCAACAAGGGACAAGAGATGCCTGTGTGGCGGGCAGCTGTGCTTTATACGGTGCGAGCAGCACGGGCGAGCCAGAAGTGAGGAGAGGCTGGGCAGAGGCTTGGACCCAGACAGCAGCGAGGGCTTCCCGAAGGGCCAGACCGAGGCACTGCCGCACGGTCCAGCTCGATGCCAACCCGCAGCGAGGTGAACGGGCAGGTCGAGGAAGGTGGGCGGTCGGTGCCCTGCGACAAGGTCCTGGCCTGGCTCGTCTCTATCTGCTGCTGCCGCTGTGCCATCACGCTGGGCAGAGAGGGTATCGGCACAACGCTGAAGGAGGGGACCCATCGACGCCGGGGCGCGGTCCTGCCTGCCGTCGCAGCACCCAGCCAGGGTCAATCTGAGGCAGCCACCGAGGCTGGGGCGAGGGAAGGCAGCAAGCGGCGATGCGCCGGACCACCGCACCTGCTGTCTGTCGACGTTGGCTGCCCTTCCTGCGGCCGTCCGTGCGAGGATCTTTGTCAGGCTGGAAGCGCGACGACAGCCGCTCGAGTCACCGGTGGCGGCGGCAGGCAGGCGGAATCATCGACTTGCGCTTGCAAGTCACAGCGAGCGATGGCGGTCGATGGACCCGACCTGAGTCGCAGGGGGCCATGTCAGCTTCGCTCTGGTTTGCCTTCCTCGGGGCAAACGGGCGAGGGGGGGCAAAGCAGGTCTAGGAGCTGCCGAGCAGATGGCCGAAGAGGGAAGGAGGGGGAGGGCAAAGATGAGAGCGGGGGGCCGGCCTGGCCAGGACGAGCTTCGGTGAGCAACCAGCTGCAGCCGGCGCGGCTCCTCTGGGGCAAACGAGGGTACGGTCGAGTAGCGCGCGCGATCGAGGCCAACACTCGTCCTAGCCGACCTCGGTGGTGCACAGACTCGGCAGGCTTGCTGCAGGCCCATGACCAGCAAGCAGGTCGGCGCTCGAGGTTCCTCTGATCTCTTCGCCTGTATGATAAGCCATCGATGGATCATGAAGCAGGTTTCCGGTGGTGTGGGAAAGCGGCCACCACGCGACTCGCACCCTGCGACCTTACCTGCTGCTGGAGATTGACATGCATATGAGTGCGGACGGAGGGCGCGCAGCGGTAACGCTCGAGCCTCGGTTCACGACAAAACGCACGACGAGGAGCCACACAGAGAGGATCTCAGCGGCGATGTGGACTGTACGCCCAGCTCCCGTCTGAGGACAAGCCAGGCGGCCGAGTAACGACGACGATGCTGGAACGAGCGCGGTGGGCAGCCTGGTTGCCGGCTGTACGTGTTCTTACCGACGTTTCAAAGTGGGCGCGCGAGCACCCGGCACGACCAAGGCAGATGGACGTGGTCGTTGAGCGAAGTCGTGATGGCAGCGGTGGCAGCCGCGGCGGCGAAGGCTCGGCAGGAATCTGAACTGGCCCTTCCGAAGGCATGACTCCATCAACGGCGCACGGCCTCTCGTAGGCTCGGTCCTGTTCCTCCGAGTCGTACCGGTATCAGGTTTGGGGAAGGCCGAAATCCAGGCAGGCAGAGGCGGCCGAAACCCAAAGCAGGCCGCTCTCGTCGTCGGCCCATCCCCGCATCGACCGAGCCGCGCAGCCAGTCGACGCTGCTCGGCGCTGCCCAGTTTGACCAGAGCCTTGTCGGCGATCTCTTGCTGTGCCTAATCTCAGGTCAAGAGAGCCCAAAAGACCGCCGAGTGCAAAGGACTGTGCCGGCTCCTACCCATACACCCGCTCGCCACCGCCAAAAGCCCAAGCTCCTTCCTGTCGTGCAGCGGTGAGCAGGTTGACTTAGGTGCGGTAAGCGCAAAGGGCTAGGAGATGGTCCAGACGCTGGGCAGTTACAGTAGTAGTAGTACCACTGGGTATGCTGGGCAAAGGAGCCCCTTGCGCACTAGAGAGTATCCTCGGTCAGGCGAGCAATGGGACGAGGCGGGCTCTTTCGGCAGGATTGGCTAAGTCACATTCGCCCATACCGTATCAGGCTGCGGCGCAGCGCGGATTGCGACATCAAGCAGAGAGCAGCCTAGACTCCTCGTCAGCCTCTGTAGTTGTCTGGCGAGCCGATTCTTGGGGCCATTGCCGCCGCGGCGCCGTATCGACTTCGTTACCTTGGAGCGTGCGTGGATCGGTCTGCCGCTGCGCTGCCGTCGAAATGACAGCGGATCTCTCCGCTTGCGCATGAACCCTACGGCGGCTATCCGGCCCACGTTTTGGGTTCCCATGAAGAGGCTGGGTTCGGGACGCCGTCGTCCTTTTTGGGTCCTGCAGGCCCATGACTTCGGAGATTTCCTTCCTTCGGCCCGGCAGCCAGCAAGGCCAGCACGCCACCAGCAACGACGGCGCAGGTGGCAGGTCGGGTTCCTAGGAGCCTGGAGCCTGGAGCCTGCGTGGCCCCGCTCCCAAAAACAGCTCTCTCCCCATCGCGATCCACGAGGTCCTCTGTAGGGTGTCCGTCCCTTCTGCGCATCCCCCTCATGGCCCCAGCCTGGCGACCATGGTCCTTCGAGCGCAACCGTGTGAGAGCAGCTCAGCATGGCCGAAAGAAGACGTGGAGCAGGCACTCGTCGGACCACGAGAGCATCGATCAACCTGTACGGAACAGCACGACGAAGAGGCCTGCCGAAAAGGGTGCCGGACCACCGCCTTGATCATCACCATCGGTGCCTGCGAGAAAGCGCGCCGATCCGAGCAACTCCTCTGCCTGTCCATCCTCACATACATCGTTGCGCTTGAGTGTTGGAACGAGAAAAGCCCTAGCCTTGCCTTCTCAGTGGGAATAGCGACGGGGAGAGCTCCTGTTAGAGATAGAGCTCGACGAGGGGGAGCCAGAGGCCTCGTCCACAGTGGCCAAGGTGGCGAATCGGCCAGTGGCAAGCAGTGCACGGGGCGCCCGATGCGATGCGGGTTCGGGATTGAACAGCTCTACGAACTCGGGTCCGAGCACTATTTCGACCCGCGACCACCGTCTGAAAATTTCCCAGGGTCGGCCGAGGACGTCTCTGGTGCTAGCCAGCTCAAGCACCGGCTTGCACCGAGGCCCGTCCGTCTTCCGGGTCGGACCGCGGGCAGGCGAAATCGTCAGCCAGGCCCGGTCAGTCAGCCCGAGCCTGGCCAGCCAAGCACCGCCCGTCTGCGTGCGGTCTGGCGCCGGGGCCCAGCCAGCGTTGGCCGGACGAGGGCCAGCCAAGCCAGCCTCGACGCCGACCCGACTCGAGATCCCACCTCCCGCCCGCTTGCCACGACCTCTTCCCCACGCCATCAAGCAACCTGTGAGTGTCATACGGACCCCACGCTACCCGCCAACGCCACCGTCCCCGCCCCTCCGACCTCGCAGCAAGTGAGGACACCTATGCCGTCGACGTCGACCAGCCAGCAGCCGCAGAGACCCCTCCTCTTGGATCGAATCCGACGACGACACCGCCCAGTCGGCCACGAAACGCCTTTGCGGCCTGATCTGGACGAATGCGACCACACGCTCGGCTGGAATCGACCCGCTTCGAATGCGAAATAGGCGCCACTCTGACCGGCCGGCATCCTCGACGATGATCGGCATGTTGCAGTCGGCGGGCGCAGAATTCGGCTGGATGGCATGGCTGGAGGAACGGCCAACTTGAGGCCGATGGAAACGTCCCCTTACGACTGCGGGAACTGCGACCGGCGTCGGACGAGCAGCAGAGGATCAGAGGTTGACGGGGACTGGACGGTTTGCAGAACGATGCTTCAGGCCTGGCAGTCGATGCGGGCCTCGATGCGCTTCGTCGGCGGCCATTGGGACCAGGTCGGGACGGGCTGCAGATAGGTGGCGAGTCGACACCGACGATCTCTGAGCCGTGATGCCGCACTCAGTTCAAAGAGAACTCGACGACGCAGCGGCCCCAGGGGACCTGATCTCCACTGCCCCTGGCTGTTTGCCGGCTTCGACGGCAAACCCGACAGACAGCACATCGACACACGCCATGCGACATCGACGATCCAATTGCGACATTTCGAAAGGGGTCTTGCTGCGAGCTGCTCGGCCGACGACTCGGACACGGACCGACAGCCCAGAAACTCGAGCCCGGCAATTTGGACTCGAAGCTGACCTTTTCCCTACTTGGACTCTCCCGCCACCGCCATCTCCTCCTTTTGCCCTCTCAAACAGCATCACACACTTCACAATGGCCCGCAACAGCCAGATCGCTCCCAACGTGGGCCGCCTCAGCCGCACCCAGGTCTTCAAGAAGAAGGGCGGCTACAAGCACACCCAGCGCAAGGGTGCTGCCAAGGCCGAGGAGTCTACCCCCGCCTTCAAGGAGGTCGAGGTCAAGGGTGCCAAGAACGGTGGCAAGCGCCAGGTCCCCACGAGCAAGGCCGCCCGCTTCTACCCTGCCGAGGACGTTGCCCAGCCCAAGGCCAGCCGCAAGGTCCAGCGCCCCACCAAGCTGCGCAAGTCCATCACCCCCGGCACCGTCCTGATCCTCCTCGCTGGCCGCTTCCGCGGCAAGCGCGTCGTCTTCCTCAAGCAGCTCGACAGCGGCCTCCTGCTCGTCAGCGGCCCCTTCAAGGTCAACGGCGTCCCGATCCGACGGGTCAACCAGGCCTACGTCATCGCCACCTCGACCAAGCTCGACCTGTCCGAGGTCAAGGTTGACGAGAAGCTCAACGACGCCTACTTCAAGCGCGACAAGGCCCCCAAGACCAAGGCTGAGAACGCCTTCTTCGAGGACCCCGCCAACAAGGCCGCCCACCCCGAGTCCAAGGTCGCCGACCAGAAGGCCCTCGACAAGGCCCTCATTGGCGCCATCAAGAAGGCCGGCCCCACCATGGCCAAGTACCTTGCCTCGACCTTCTCCCTCTCCAAGGGCGAGCACCCCCACCTCCTCAACTTCTAGGTCCGACGTCGACGGCTTCAGTCTCTTGAGGGTGTAAAAACGCAACGATCGACGAGCGGCAACGACGACGAGGCCCGCAGTCTTTGCGGATCGGCCGCCCCATCCACCGGGACATCGAGATCGAGGGCGAGAACAGGGACGGGGACAACTCTTTTGGCGTCTGAAACGGTTGTGGGTTGTTCCCTGGTTTTCTCATCTTTCACTCTTTTGCGTGCGCCCTGCGCTCCTCGCCTGCTCCTCGAGAGCATCTCATCGACGACGGCCGTGACGGCAACCGACAGGAGGGCTAGCTGAGATGCGAGTCCTTTTGTTTCAATGGGTTTGGTGCTCGCACCTCGGCTCGCCTTCCATCTCGCCGTCGTCTTTCGAGCCTCGACCTCGACGCTTCCCATCGGACACGGACGTGACCTCTCTCGGCACACCGATCCTCGACCGCCTTCGGATCCTCGCCCGTCTCTCGCCTTCCGTTGCTCTCCCCACTTCCTCGGTTCCACACACCCTTCACTCTTCGCACTCTTCTCCTTCGCTGTCGCTCTCTCTTCTCTTCTTGTTCTCCACACAACCAAAGCACGCACCCCACCCCCACACACATGCACGCCGCACCAAACCAAACCATTGTACAACCAACGTCTTTACCTGCTCGGAGCGAGTGGTGCGGGAGGGGAGGAGAGGTCGAGCCCCTCTGCTCCTCTCCTTAAGCCCCCACCACCCTTCTGCACCAAAAGAAGAAAAGCCACCCATGAAGCCTCACTCTGCGGGCCCCGCGCCCGTCTGCCCGCCGTCTGATGTTCTTTGTCGAGGGATCGATTGGGGATGTCGGCGGTGTCCCTTTTCGGCAGGGTGCCTGGCAGTTTGCCGACGGCGTCGTGGTCAGGACACGGGCGACTTTGGGGGAATACCGGACGACTCTGTTGCCTTTTGCGTAGCCTCGGCCTCTCGACATGGTGCTGCTACCTTCTAACCTGGGGTCAATCGACCATCAACAGCGACCATGGCGCCCACCTGCCTAGGATCGCGCGTGGCTCGGAGCCTGAAGGACGACCACGACGAGCGATGGCCGTGGCTGAGAAGAGGTGGTATTGCGTGGCCTCGTCAGCTGCGACTTCTGAACAACTCCCTTGCCCCTTCCTCTTTGGCGTCTTTTGCGCCGAGCCTGGCCAGCTCCCTCAGCCTCAATGCCTTGGCGTTTCGCAGCTTGATCCACCTCGCCTCGATCGCCTCCTTCTTTTTGCGCTCCCGCGCGAGCGTCGGGTCCTCGCTTTCGGCCGCCAGGATCGCGTCCGCCTCCTTTGACCCTGCGCCCGACGCCGGAGCCCCCGCCTTCGACGACTTGTTGGCGGCGGCATCAACCTTGTCCTGGCCAGGAGCCACAGGCATGCCGATCTCGCCCTTGCGCCTCTCCTCGCGGAAGCGCTTGAGTGCCTCCGGGTTCTCGGCCAGGATGCTCTCTCGGTACTCTTCCCGCTCCCTGACCGCCTCGAGGTTGGGGATGATGAGCGAGCTTAGCGATCTCTGCCTCTCGCGGATGGTGTCTAGGTGTTTCCGCACCGTCGCTTCCGAGAGGTCGCCGCGCGGATCAATCTTGAAGTCGATGTCAAAGTGGACCGGCGGCAGCCCGAGGCGGGATCGCCGGACAATCTCGTCCTCGGTCATCGGATCGATCATGCGACCCGGCAGAAGAGAGAAGTCGACGGGACCCGTAACGAAGGACCCATCCAGGTAGCGGTCGACAGTCACGTCGAGCTGTGCGATCCTGCGCCTCGGCGGGTCGGAGGCCCCGGCCGAAGACGACGGTGCCGTGCTGTCCTCTGCTGTTGACGTCGAGGTGGATGCCTCATCGGGTACCTCGGAGGCCTCGACGAAGACCGACATGGGCAGGTCCGCGCGAGAGTTGGTCTCGACGGTCAATTTGAGCGTCTGCAGCAATAGCAGAAGGGACAAAAGTCAGCCAAGCCCATGACAGGTGGAGAAACGCTGCGAGAAGGAACAGAGCCGCCAGGGCCATCGCCGCTGCCTACGCACCTGTCGCGGGAAGAGATTGGTGGCCGCCTCGAGAACATTTTCGAGCATGCCGAGGCTTAGCCGGAAAGACTGGTCGGCCATCTCCTCGCTGCCAAACAGCCTCTCGTTCATCTCCTCGACGCTGATGTACTGGAATCCGTAAATGGTGCTAGTGGTATGGTAAGCGACGAAAATGCCGTCCATATGGCCGATCCTGGCCTGGAAGTTGTACTTGAGGAAGGCGGCGCGGATCATGTCGTAATACTCGCGCTCGAACGACTCAACGAGGCCCTGGGCGCGGCGAATCTGATAGCCGGAGCCCTCGACGTAGTTGGCGCGGTCGTTGCGGATGCCGATCGAGGCTCGCGTCTTGAGATCAAAGGTCCGCCGGGGCAGCCGGTCATCCGAGCAGTCGAGCTGGGAGCGCATCATCAGCTTGCCCGCCTGGGCATAGTGGTACGACTCGGGCTTGTTGCGCTCTTCGGCGCTGAGGCTGGCGCTGTTGGTGCGCATGTAACGCGCGTACTCCTCGGGCGTCGTTGTCAGCATCTTTTCCATGCTCTTGCCGAGCGAGGTGAGGACGTAGTTGTTGTTGGCCGCCTCGCCAGCCGACTCCTTGTCGGCATCGATGGCGTAGTGGCCGCCCCCGCTGCCGTCGGCGTCGGGCTTCCAGTTGAGCGTGATCGAGGCGGGCAGCTTGGCCCCGAAGCTGAAGCCGCCGGGCATGCTCTTGAAGGGCGCCGAGAAGCCCGAGGTGTCCGGGTCGCGCCACCCGCTGATGTGGAAGTAGCACTGGCTGAGCAGGCCCGTCATGCTGCTGGTGCTGCCGCAGAACCTGCTGCCGTGCCTCTTGGTAAGCGTCTCGAGCTCCGGGTCCTTGCTCGAGGTGACATAGGGGGTGAGGGCCTCGTAGTCAAACAGGTCGACGTCGAGAATGTCGCGTATCCGCGGATCGAAGTTGTAGATGCCGGATCGCGGGTCTCGCATCCAGTAGATGCCAGGGTTGAACAGGACGCGGTCGAGGCCGTGTGCCAGAGCGGGGACTTCCATCTTGCGAAGCGGCTCGATCTTTTCGATGGCAATTTGGTGTCCGCTTATGGAGCCGCTGACGGTGTCGGACCACTTTCTACGGGCGTCGGCGATGGGCCCGGCGTAGGCGACGGTGTTGTTGAGCCGGCCGCTCTCATCGCGCAGCTTGAGGAGAGACGCTTCGACGGCATCCTCGCCGTGCAAGAGGCCACTCAAGAGGGGTTTCTGCTGGCGAGAGGGCGACTGCCGCTCGGGGCGTGCTGCAAACGAAGGTGAAGGTAGGGACGACGACGAGGACGAGGATGAGGAGGCGGAAGCTGGCTGCTGGTGTGCGGCCGAGGATGTGGGAGACGAGCTGGCGGACGCCGGAGGTGGCGGCGTGACGGTCCAGGTTTGATTGGCGGGTCGGGGGGCGGCGAGCCTATCTGGCCCCCAGCCGGTGTTGACCTCTGATTTTGCGAGGCGGGGTAGGAGGTGCTGCAGTCGCTGCGAGATGTTGAAGGCCTTTGAGTGAAGCTCGTCGAGTTGGGACTCGAGCTCTTCGAGATGGTGCAGGACGAGGCTGCGCGATGTGGTGCGGCCTGCTCTGTGCGGGTGTGTCAGAAGGGTCGAGGGCGAAAACTTTGAGTTGCTGAGGTCGCGTTGCGCTTTCGATGTGGCGATGCTTTGGTGACGCTTGTTCAGTGGCGACCTGGGTGAAGTCTTTGGGCTGGTGCGGAGCTGGGGCCCCTTTGTGACTGACTGTGTCGGATTGGGGGTGTTTTGAAAGCTGGCACGCAGGCGTGATGCCAGCTTGTGTTGTTTTGCCGTCGCCTGGAAGGATCTTGCGCCAGGCGGAGCAGGGTAGGCGGCGGTCGAGGGCGAGGGCGAGGGCGAGGGCGTACTGGAGCTTGGAAATGGGAGTATGCAGTGAGGAGCCGCCGAGAGCGAGGCCGATGAAAAGAGGTGTAGAGAGACGGTGCGCGGTCTGTGCTGCCGCAAGGCCTGTTGGACGAGCATGCTAGGATAAGGTGTGCGGCAGGAACGGCCAAGGCTGTGGTGGTGGACGTCGAGAACAAGGGGCGTGCGGTGGCGCCAACCTCGAGCCAAGGGGGGACCGGCTAGGGCCAACGTGGAAAGCTGGCCGATGAGCTGACGAGCCACCGGCCAGCCAGGGTGGAGGTCGGGCAGGGCACTTGAATTTTGGGTTTTTTTCTTCTTAATTTTGGGCGGCCTGTTGGGGTCGACCACCGGCGGACGCTTCTTCTCATCTGCCCTGGAAAATTTCAACCGCACCGGCACCGGCACCCGCATCCACGCCCGCCCAAATGGACCCTGTCGGCAGCCTTTCCGACGCCCGAGGCCACCTCGCGCCCTGTTTGCCCTTGGCAACGATCCTCGACCTTGGAGCCACACTCTCTGTAGTCTGCCTGCCTCAGCTGCTAGCCACTTCTCTCTCGTCGCCACGGCCCGTAGGCCACCACCACCATACCCACCACCACCAACACCATCACTCCCCTTCTGCCCTCCTCGCCCGGCCATGGCCAAGGCGTCCACATCTAGGCTCGCAGCCTCGCCTCTCGCCCGCCGCAAGCGTGCCCATCGGCCCTCGCCTTCGCCCTCGCCCGAATACACGGCTGCTGACGACGACGCAGAATCCCACCCAGATGGTTATGGCCCGGAGAACGATGGCCACTCGGCCCAGCTAGCTCAACTGCACGCCTTCGGCAACGCCTTCCTCGCATCCTTCGGCCTCGACAGCGATACGCCGGCCGCATCGTCAGCCTCGACCCCTGGCCCCTCGTTGTCCTCGTCGCATCGAGCTAGAGCAGCCTCAAACACCAGGCAAAAGCCAAACTCCCGCTCCGCATCCAGAACAACGACTAGCCAGCCCAAGCAAAGAAACGACATCGACCGCATGTTTGACGCCTCGGATCCAGACGACGACAACGCCTCGATGAGCGACGTCGGCAGCGAAGAAGAAGGAGAAGAAGAAGAAGGAGAAGAAGAAGAACGAGAAGACGACGACGACGACGACGACGACTCCTCTGTTGGATCACTCCACCACGAGCAAGGCTCCGACGGCTTCGACGGGCATTCTGACGTATCCGACACCGAAGGCCAGCCCGACCGCCCTGTCCGCCCATCGCCCTCATCCAAAAAGGCTGCCACCAGGGCCAAGGCGGGGTCCAAGCTCACCTCGTCGGCACCTCTACCCACGCCACCCCGATCGAGGCCAGTAGAGACGGTCGTCTTTGCAAGCACGGCCGCCTCTTCGCCCTCGCTCAATACCGACGCCGCCGCCGCCTCGAAAAAGGGCTGGAAGGCCTTCATGTCGTCCAAGATCTCCAAAATCAACCAAGAGGGCGACGACGACTCGGCCGCCAACAAGACCAAGACGCGGCGCACAAAGGCCGAGGCCGACGAGGAAAAGCAACTCGAGTCAAACGACCGCCTTCTCTCGCACCTCCTCTCTACGACCCTGTTTGCTCCAGGCGCGGAAAAGGAGGGCAAGAAGCGCAACCTCTCTTCCAACGACACCCTCGCTCGCATCATTGAGCTGTCGGCCACCGACTCGCAGCGCAGGGGAACCGCCGTCGGCAGAGGCTGGGGAGAGACTGAGCTGCAGCGCCGCCAGCTGGCAAAGATGCCCGCCAAGATCCGTCAGGACATCCGTCGCGCCAATGCGGACAAGCGCGACAAGGAGAGGGAGAGGGCAAAGGAGCTGGGGACGTGGCACCCGTCGCTCAAGGCAAACTACAGCAACAAGGCCACGGCCACCGAGATGGGCACCAAGGCGGAGCCCAAGAAGCGGTTGCGTGGCATCGGCGCCGGCATCGGCAAGTTCAAGGATGGCACCCTGACGCTGAGCAAGAGCGACGTGCGCAAGATCAATGGGCCCAGCAGCGCGGGAGGGGCAGACGGCAAGAACAAGAGGCGGAAGAAGTGATGACCAAGGCGTCTACACTTGTTGCCCGACAAATTGAGCGTGTTTGCCCCGATCCAGGCCCACCCACGCCGGCCACGTTGCGGCTGCCTGTCGCACCACGCTGCGATGACCTCGAGCTTGCACAGACTCGTACCGCGAAGGTCGTCCGTCCGGCCTCGCAGCGCAAGCTATCCTGGAGAGATGGGTGCTTGACAGCCGGCGCCTTGAGGCATGGTCGACCTCGGTGGTCGGCTCGCTCGCTGCAGCTCGACCGGTCAGTGCGTTCAAGCAGCCATGCACGGGGCATGGGGTTAGCAGCACCTCGATAGCTGTCGCCGACGACCGCGGTCAGCCGACGGCAAGGTGACCAGCCCATGACCAGCCGTGTGCAGCTGCATCGCCCGTACTACGATCACTCTGTAGCAATCTCTGGCGGCAGAGAGAGGCCACACGCTTGATGGCAAGTACTTGACTATCGGGGTGCCACGGCACGAATGGACGCGCTGAGCAAATTGACCGCCTGGTGTTTCTCGGATCCGGCCCGCGTCCTTGACGGCGGGGCAGGGAGGGCCAGGCCGTGCGGCGACGAGCAGATCGGAGTCTTCGCAGTGATCGACGGCCAACTGGGAGCCCCGAAGGCTCGCCCACGCGGGTGCAACCGCAGCTTGTAGACCGTACCACTCCCCGACTGTCTTGCTTCCTTGCTGGGCTAGCCTGGCGTGGACTGGATCTTGATCGTCGCTGAACCTTTCGCGTGATTTGCCGTCATCGGATCGGCTTGCCTGGCGCACCGCCTGTCAACAAAAATGATGATGATGGGGATGGATGCTCAGGGCAGGGCAATGGTTTGCTAGACCAAGCTAAGCAGGTCAGGCCAGGCCAGCCAGGCGGCCCCACCCCGTCGACTTGCGACAGGCGAGCAGCCAGGTTTTGCGTCCGGAAGCGTCAAACGGGCGCAAATGGCGGACGCTCCGGCGGGCCCATGCCTCCACAAGCAAGCAAGAGGCAGGCGCAGGAGCAAAAGCCTGCCCACCCAGGCTGGCAGCATCATCGTATGCGGCTCACGCAGCTCAGTGCGTCCGCCAGCAAAGCCTCCCGCGATCCACGGCGGCGACGGCCAAGGCCAGGCCCCGCCTCGCAATCTCCCCCCTGCCTGACCCCCCCGCGCCCCGGCGCTCGCTTGGCTCGGCGTGGCCCTGGCTGCTTCCCCGTCGACGTCGGTCCAGCTCGGTCACCCTGCCTGGCTTGGGGCTGCGACTCCACAACTTCTCCGCTTTGGGTCGAAATTCCGTCCGTTCCCCTGCCCAGCAAGCCTGCTTCGCTTCCGGAGGCTCGAGCGCCCCGAGGGCCAAGCCAAGCCCGCCTCGCGCCAGGCCAGGCCAGGTCGGGCCTGCCAGGCAGCCAGTCTGGGCTTGGCCGCCTCGACCGTCGCGACTGGACGCGTACGACGCCTGGCCGTAGTGTGGCAGGCGTCAAGGCAGGCTAGGCCTATGAGGCCTACCTCCCTGAGGCCGCGTCAACGTTGCTCCAGGTCGGTCGCGTAGGGCCTGCCTGCAGGCTTCTTGCCAGCCAAAGGCAGCCTTCGCCTGCCTGCTGCTGACTCGGTCGTCCATCGCGTAAAGGCTTGTCCGCCAGAGCCCTGCCCGTCGAGGACCTGCCGACCAGCTCGCCCAGGATGGGAGGCTGGATGGATGGATGGATGGATGGACGCCTTGCCTTGCCTTGCCCTGCCCTGCCTTGCCAGGCCTGGCGTCTCCCTCGTCCATCGACCCATCCCACGCTTTCCCCTTTGCTCTCTCGTCACCGGCCACCTCCCAGACTATAAAAGATCCCTCGCTCTCCTCCCCCTTAGATCAACGCCCCCGTCCTCCTTCACCTGCCCCGTTACAGCACCATCTCCTTCCGCTTGCCTATCCGCTCTCCAACGTCACTCGCATAGACGGCCACCTCCGCCCGCTCCCTGCTCCTTATTCCTCACATCCCCGGATTCGCACCACTTTAACCACAAAAATGGCACCCAAGGACGAGAGCAAGGCCGCCGCCGCCGCCGCCGACGACGATGAGGGACAGACGGTCGAGGAGTCTGTCAAGTCGGACAAGCGCGATGCCGCCAAGAGCGCCGAGAAGAACGCCGCAAAGGAGCTCCAGGACGAGGACGATGACGACGAAGAGGACGAGGACTTCGTGAGTAAACCCTCCTGCCTCGCCGTCCGCAGGCCATACGAGTCGCCGTGCTGATCTCGCCCTCTTGAACCCGCTTCCACGGCACCGCCGTCTTTTCGGCAACAACAGGAGGAGGGAGATGAGGACGACGACGACGAAGAGGCCGAGGAGTGAGTGACCGATCGCTCCGCCCCACACGCCGTTGCACGAGGCACGATCGATCGCCCCCAGCCGTACTGATCCGAGCCGCGCTACTCGAACGTCCCCTACCCCTTCGCAGCGATGACGAGGAGGCCAACGAGGACGATGAAGACGTCGACGACGAGGACGAAGACGACGCCGCCGTTGCAGAGGGCAAGGACGACCAGGTGGATGAAGATGCCGAGAAAGAGGCGCAAGAGTGAGTATCGGCGGTCGCGGAAGTGTCCAGTCCCGGCCACAGTCTTAGTGTCGGGGCCTTGTCTCAACTTCTGACTCGCTCTTCTCCTCTACCCCATCGCCTGCTTGCCTCGAGTAGAGAGGACGACGAGGCTGCTGGCGAAGACGGGGATGACGACGCTGCTGCCGCAGCCGAGGAGGCCGAAGACGACGACGAGGGCGCGGGCAGCAAGAGGAAGGCAGAGGACCAGGGCAAGGACGACGACGACGCAAAGGCGGCAAAGACTGACTAGGAGAGTTGGCTCATCGCCCTTGGCTCCTCGCGCCATCTCTGCTGCCTCCTGCCCGCTAGATTCTCGCCTGTATCTACCCTTGCATCGTCGTTCTCAGCTGCCTGCCCTGGACGAGTTGTAATCAGCCGGCACTGCGGCCGCCGCCTGATCAGTTTGGACCGTCGCTGGAAGCGCAAGCCCAGTTGCAGCTGCACCTGAGGACCTCTCGCATCGCCGGCACACCGTGCCCAACGATGGGCCAATGAGGCTTGGTGGACAACAACGGGCTGGGGGGATGGCGCAAAAGGACTGTGTGTCATATTGTGGTCGGAGCCAGCGGCGGTGCTGCTGCTGCGGGATGCGGCGTCGTGCAATGCAAAAAGTACGAGACCGACGAGAAGAGTAGCGCCGATGCCATCGTGGTCGGAGTGAGGCACGGCGAAGCGTCCCGGTGATCGTCGAGGGGGTCGGGAAAACGGGCGGACACGAACTTCAAGGATGTATACGAGTAAAGACGAGGAAGAGTCCGACGGCTCGGAACGAGAGGGTCAAAGATGGAGCATGGCAGGGCAGTGCGGCGATCAGGGCGGTTCGGTGCGGTGCTTCGCGTTGCGGTACGGTGTGGAAAAAGGTCCATTGTGTGGTTGTCGATGGCGTCGATGAACCCGAGGGAAAGGTCAGAGTGAAGATGCCCTTTCGGCTGGAAGGTGAACGGGAGCGAGCGGCTGTCGCCTCGCCCGAGGTCTTTTCTCAGCGTGCAGAGGCATGCCTCGAGTGCGGCGTTGGCGAAGACCTACTCTGGCCCAGCTTGTAGTCGGCCGGAGGTGCCTTCAGCTGCTTGCCCGCTGCTGGGTCCAGAGGCGGCAGGGGGCTCTCGGGCGGCGTGGGGACCATGCTCGAGTTCATGCTGGCGTTGTAGCCGCCGGGGCTCGGAGGATTGAGCATCATCATTGGCGGCGGAGGCGGCATACCCCACGGCATGGTGGTTGGAGGGCCATAGAAGGACATGGGCCGGGCCATTGCCATGTGCGGCGACGGTTGCTGCTGGTGCTGCTGCTGGTAGGGTCCATGGAGGCTGTGCATTGATCCGGACATCGGGACCGTGTAGCCTGCCATGTAGGGCGACATGCCTGGCGGTGGCAAGTCGTATGGGCTCACCGGCATCGCCAACATCGGCGGTGTCGGCGGCGCGAATGCGGGGCTCCAGGTGCCGCTGTGGGGCATCGGAGGAGCGACGAAATCCATCTGCGACTGCCGCCGGCTCATCCTCTTGGCGCTGCCACCGGCCTGGGAGTCGCTGCCGCGGTACGCCTCGCCTGCCCACTCAGCCGGAATCTGACTCTTGCGCCTCGACTGCGACTGCGATTGCGGTTGCGACTGCATCTGCGGCTGGGAAAGCGTCGAGCGCCTGCGGTCCTCGCGGCTTTGCTCGCGGGGATGCCTGGACGCGCGCTTGTCAGACTGTGCAATGTCCGACTGGGTGCGCGCGCGATCGCCGAGCTTCTTCTCGGGATTGAGCGGCGATCCCGCAAATGCGCTGCTGCGGCGATTAGCCTGCAGGCGCTGGGCCTGCTGCTCGCTGAGCGAGGCGCGGTTGAGCGGGGGCCTCTCGACTGTCTCGTTGATTTCGGCAGTCGAGCTTGATCTCGGCAGGTGCGAAAGTCGCGAGCGGCCCTGGCTTCCCTGACGGATGGAGCCGGCAGGCGACGAAGAGGTCGTGGTACCCGCTGCAGGCATCATAGGGACCGCTGACGTCGGGCGCTCCGACGACAGCTCGATGCTGTCGTGGCGTGTGTGCGACTGCTCGGTGGAATGCGAGGGCGGCGCCGACAACTTCTGCACGGACCCGGACGACGCGGTCTCGGCGACGGCCGAGGGCGTGAAGTGAATATGCTTTGCCAGGATGCGCGCGAGCTGCTGCAGATTGTTGCTGCGTCCGTCGTACTTGGGCCTGGCCTTGACGAGCATTTCTGCAGAGTTATAGGAAAGAGTGGCGCGGACGCAGGAGACATCAATGTCCGGCCAATTGGGTCGCCATGGTTGCAACGGCTGCTTCAAGCGGACAGTGCACTTACTCGTGGCGTGGAGGATCTCGGCATCGTTCCACAAGGTCCAACCAAGCTCTTGTCGTCGGCAAATGCCCCGCCACATGGGGCTGTTGATGTCCTGGATCGACGTCACCATCCCGTCTCTCTCCACGCTGATGTCAAACACCTGCGCCGAGGCGCTCTGCCCGGCGACTGGATCGACCTTGAGTGCCCAATGCTCGGTCTCCAGGCCGCGGTGATGCATGGCCGCCTTGAGGCCGCCCGAGTCGATGCCGGCAAGGTCCACGGGAATCTGCTGCTGATCCAGCGGGACCGCGATCAGCGTCATCTTCCTAGCCTGCGGGTGGGGTGGCGGCGCCGCCACTTCGACCACCGCGTTGGACTTGGAGGCGCAGTTCCCCATGATGCCGAGTGCAGGGGTGGGCCGAGGAGAAAATGTCCTCTCTGGGCTGAGGCCGATATCGACTAGGCAGGACGATCCTTGCCACAGCTAGACGCCAAGAGGAGGGCGCCGATCGATGGCCTCGAAAGGGAGGCCTGTTTCTTCGTTTCGCTTCAGTCCCGAGCCGCGAGCATCGCAAGGGTGCCTTTGTCGCTGTGCTTCGCTCGTTGTCCACGTGAACAGGGACAAGGTAGTAGTACCCTGTGAAGGCGGTCAAGTCACCAAGACGAGGGGGTTGGTGCCGATGAGGAAAGTCAGCAAACATATTGCCCAAGAGCCGCAATGGTCGGTCGGTATCGTTTCAGGGGCGCCTCCACGTTGGAAAGATGCACTCACCCCGTTGAACGCCAGGAGATCTCAGGCCAGGCCCAGGGGAGGATCCTGCCGTGGTCACCTGCGCAGAGACGGGTCTGACGTTATCGGGCCAACAAATGGCGGATAGACGGAACGCAGCCGCGTAGACCAAGGTGTTGCGCTGACTCGGTGGCGAGCGATGGTTTCCGCCGTGGTTTGTTTTTCCTCTCTGCTGCCCGGTCCGGAGCCTGTTTACGAGGGGACTAGGCGGAGGCGACAAAGGCTGCGACTTGCGACACTGCGAATGGACCGTACGGGCGGGGTATCGTTTGTTTGGGATGGCGGCAGGGACGAGGGAGCAGGCAGAGGACAGCGACAAGCGGGCCGGGAGAAGGGGTGGGGTATCGAGGATGGAGGATGGCAGGCGGGAAGCAAGAAGGCAAGCCGGCGCGCGGCGATGTTGGCTCATCCCAGACCGGCACGGCGCCTCCGTCGGAGGGAGGGCACACCGCACCGCAGGTGGGCAGAGCAAAGAGCGACGAGGGCATCTGTAGGCAACAACAGCGCGCACGCCCACGCACCAGCGAGTGGGGTGCGGAAGGGCCGACCCGGCCAGAGGTTCAAAAGGTGGCAAAGAAGCACAACGTGAGCCAAGACCGGAATGGGCCCGCCAAACAGAAGAAGAGAGAGGCCAGGAGAGCTCCATCCAGCGCACATTGGCCCGCCTGCGTGTCGTCGCGGGCGCGCTGCCCACCTGCCCACCTGCCTGGCCTGCCTGCCTGCCTGCCTGCCTGCCTGCCCGCCTCGCGGTCGGCTGGCTGGGCAGACATACAGAGAGTCCGCAGGCAGACAGACAGGCGGCAGGCTGGGCAGGTCAGCCGGGCCAATGTGGTGCAGCATGGCATGGCATGACAAGCGATGGCCTTGGTCGATCTCCTCTGGATGGTACGGTCGGTGCTGGTGGAGCCTTACCTAGTACCTTAGCTAGCCTGCCGCGCGTACCAACGCCCAGGCAGGTTCCAGCATCCACCGCGTGGGCTTGGCTGGGTCGGTGGGTCGGTGGGTCGGTGTGCTCGCTGGCCATCCCCAGCGTCGCCTTCCCTTTGCCCGACGATTCTCTCTTTGTCCGTACGGCCGCCGCGAGGTTACGAGACGGTGCGCCCTGCGACCGAGGTGGGCCGAAACAGGTCGACGTCGGAGCTGCAACGGCGAGGATCTCGAGCGGCAGCAGCCCAACACGCACGCACGCACGTAGAAAAAAGGTCTCGGCCTTGGTCGCGGACTACTGCGAGCCCGCCAGATGGAGGCCCTCGCCTCGACCCCCTCTTGGCTTCGGCTCGGCTTCCGGCGCCGGCGCTCCTTTTCTGGAACCCATGCTAAAGCTCGCCGCTTGCTCCTCCTCCCTCCGCCCTCTCGGCTTGGGCCGCCCATGGGAGCGTCAGCCCGCCACGGAACTCTTGCTACTCTTACCACTCTAGTCTTACATAGCTGAGCTCGACCTTCAGCTTCCCTCAACCACGCCTGGCCGTTTGGTGACACTGGGCGAAGCAAGCAACCCAGCTGAGGCAAACGTAACGTACGGCGCGGCCCCAACGGCTGGCTCCCTCATGCACGCCCGTTGACGGGTCGGTGGGCAACTTGGAAGCCGTTTCCTGTCACTTTCCGCCCGCGAGTCAGCGCAATGTCCGGCGCCCTGCTCCGTCGCGTATACCGTTACGTTGTATGCAAGCACTACACTAGCTGCCTGACGCCATCTCTTCGAGCCCACCGGTCAAACCTCCTTCTGTTGTCGAACGGCCGCCGCACACCGACTACGTACTCTGCCACACTACTGAGCTTGCTGGTGGTGAAGGGCAGCGTATCGGGCTCGGCCAACAGGCTCGGACGCGTACAGGCCACAAGAAGGTCCTGCCACACAGAGAGAGAATGAGCGAGGTTTGTAGAGAAGGGGAGCAAGGAAGTGTGAAGGATCGCGAAAGCAGGCAGGGCATAAGCACGGGTCGCTTCTCCCGTTCGGGCTTGGCGAGCAAGCTTGTCCAGGGCTGGCAGACGGTCGCTTGCTGAGCGCATGCTTGCTCGCTGGCTGGCTTACCATGCGCCTCGCACCGCATGCACGATAGGCATACGTGTGCTTGCGGCGCTGCCTGGTGGTACCAACGGCTACGGAGGTACGGTAGCAAGGAGCAGCAGCTAAGCTGGCCGGCCCCTAGCCGCTCGAACAAAGAGGAGCTTGCTCGACGCGGAAGTCCATGGCCAAGCAGACCTTTCTCTGCTTCCTTTTCTCTCTTCTTCTATATTCTCTCGCTTTCTCTTCTCTTCTTGGTCACGCCCCAGGTAACTCAACTGGCGGCTCTGCTTCTCGGCGCTTACGCTCGCCCAGTCCGTTGCTGCTGATCACTTGCAGAGTCTCAGGGCAGCGGGGCACGAAGCTGGGCGCTTCGTGGTGGCAAGCACGTGTGCCCAACCGAATCAGAGCAACTCCGGTGCGCGAGGTGCGCATGGACCCCCTCGCTGGGCTTCTAGAGGATTGACACTATCATTTGGCAGCCAGGCGTGGCAGTTCGGGTCCTGGCCTGCTGCACGAGAAGGATCCTTCTCGCGTGAACTCGATGCATGCGCCCTTGCACGACAAGCTACAGTCGGCAGGCCTACGGGTCTGGCAAGCTCTCGCCAGCACGGCGCGACGTCCACGCCTGCACTACGTACCTACATATGTGTATATATACTGTAGATGGTGGCGCACGCACTGTGCATACAGCAGAAAGGCCCCGTCACTCTTGCCTCGCGCAGGAAGCTGTAGATCCAGGCAGGACGACGAACGAATAAACGTTTGTCGGTCATCACGAAACCAGAAGCAAGCTTGCTTGGGGCTTGCAGTTCGTCACGCTGATTATTCCACTGGGCCAGCACTTGCGAGAGCTCAAGGGTTACCTTGAAGAACCTGGTCATCGTCGTCGACGGGCAACGCTGCACCGCCGACACGCCGCGGGCGCAGCAGCTACACCATCCAAGGCGTTGCTGCGCAAGCTATGTAGGCAGAGGCTGCGCATCTAGCCCAACGTTGCGCAGCGATTCGGTCTGGGCGTCAACCTGGAGGCTCCGGAGCAATCAAGCTGAGCCATCCCGCTGCAAGCGACGCAGGCGTTGCACGGACAACGGCCGACGTGTCAGAGTAGTGCCGGCTCGACATGGCGGGGATTTTTTCATCGGAAAAAAAGAAGACGTGGTGTGCTGGTTACCTACATCGTCGACCCCCGCCCGAAGACTCTGGCCACCGGTACGTGTGCCTCCTCGTCCGCTTCCTCGACCGTCATTGAATCAGCACTGCGGATCAACATCGGATGCGACCGGAGAGCCGAGATACATGAGGGCTTGTCGTGGCCGTGCACGAATCGTTGTGAGTCAACCTTGCTCTGCTCAAAAGGCGAGGCTGAGCGCCGGGACACGACCTTCCAGGCATCCGATCGGCGTGGGAGTCCAGCGCGGTCCGGCCCGAGCCCATCCGGCTGGCAGTTCAGACATTGCTGCGACTGCCGCCGCCGCATCGCCGCCGTCGTTACCGTCACCCCCGCTGCCGGCGGCTCCTGTGAGGAGAGCTCGGGTCCCGTGCCTTTCCGCGTCGGCGCTGGACCTGTGCAGCTGCTCCAGCCGCGCCTCCATCTCTGCCAGCTCACCCTCGAATCCAGTCTCGGCCACCGCCTGTGCATCGGCGCCATCCCCAGCTCCCGTGTCATCGCTAGGAGCCACTTCGACAGCGACAGCCTGGGCGCCTTCGGCGTCGCTTGCGCTGGCTGCAGTCGCAGATGCCGATTCTGCAGCGGCAGCTGCGGCTGAGGGAGCGGCGCCGCTGTCATCGCCGGCTTCTGCCGAAGCCGTCCTGACCTCTGCCTCGGCGGTCTCGGCTTTTGCGAACAGATCAGACACGCCGAGACTGACCGAGGATTCGAGGACCGGGAGAAGCGGCGCGATCGCCGCCGAGAGCCTATCGCTCAAGCTGCCCACCAGGCGCAGCAGCGAGATCGTACTGGGAGGGCGAGCAGTGGAGGGATTGCAGCGCAGGTCAGTCCCTTTTTTCCTGTCATGCTTCTTCCTTTTGACCGGATATGCAGCTCGCAGGACGCGCAGAGCAGCGGCAACTCACCCTTCCGCCGGCAGACGCAGACACTGCTCGATGACGGCCATCTCAAGAGTCTTGGCAGCGCCGCGGTGGATCTCTGTCACATCTTCGCCCATCATCTGGCCATCGACAACGATGAGGTGCCGCAGCCACGCCTCGGCCGTCTTCTTGTAGGTCGGCTGGATCCAGGCATCGCGCCTCCAGTCTTCATCCTCCCCTTCTGCTCTCGACGAGCTGCCGTCCGACGCGGACTCTGGCGTCTCCGGTGCCGAGTAGGCGAGTGAGGCGATGAGCTCCTCAAAAAGGACAGTGAGGAAGGGCAGTCCTAGGTTGGCGCGGAGGTAGGCGATGAGCGGGGACCACGTCTCCTCCAACTCTGATGGCAAGACGATGGCGTCGGCCTGGGCGGATGCGCGGACGCGCTTGGCCTTGGAGAGTGGAACGATGCCGCCAGGCTTGAGCAGCGCATCGATCAGGTCCTTGTTGGCGGCCCGGACCAGCTCGGCATCATACCCATTGGTGTCGTCCGCCCAGGCACTTTCATCTTCAATCTCTTCTCTGGTCCGCTTTCTCCCCATCCTCGACGCGATGAGCTTCGACGGGGCGCCTGCGACCATCATCCTCGAAGTGGTCCAGCTGTAGATGCCCTTGAACAGCCTGACGACGTCGGCTCGCTGGCGACCGGCGAGGCTATTGTCCCTGACGATGGCCTTGCCGAGCTTCTTGTAGGACTTGACGAGGGTACGGATCTGCTCAAGCGCGTCCGACCGCTCCTTGCGCTGCTGTTCGTCGCTGGGTGCGGCTCGCACCTGGACAATCGTCGAGGCGACCTCGCTCGATGTGGAAGGAGCAGCGTTCTCGTCTCGGCCGTTCTGCTGGGCGAAAAGAGTGGGGGCCCAGAAGTTGCGATGAAGCCACTCGAGAGCCTACGACGGGGAGCGAGGGGGCGCAAATGTGATCCGACAAATGGCGTGGCTCCAATCAGCTTTCAAAGTGTCACACTCTGCAAAGCGGACCATCGGGGCGAGCGTGGCTCGAGCTTCGGGTCCACTCACAGCTCTGGTGGCTTCTCTGCACACTGTGAGGCTGGGCAGATCCTCGTGCGTGCCTGCGTGCCTGAGCTCGACGAACCAGTGGGGCAAGCCGATGCGCGCGGCGATGGCTGCGATGGACTGGGCAAAGTTGCCCGACTGGTAGGAATCGACGATGGAGTTGACAAAACGAGTGATAGCCATGGTGTAGTTCATGCGAATGCCGAGCTCGGCACCACCGCCTATCCTCTCGAGCGGCGACGAGTAGGCGGCAGAAGACGAGGATGGCGGGGACGGCGAGGAGAAGCCATCACCGAGCGCGATCCGCTGCATGTGCTCATCGAGCAGGGTGGCCTGGACGAGGGAGGCGGTGGACTCGACAGCATATGGGCAGGACGATCTGTTCATCCACAGCTGGACGAGGGAGAGAGCGAATCTGCGGTCCGGAGGCGAAGGAGCAAGCGGTGCAGGGGCGGAAGGCCCCGAGGCAGCATCCGAGAGTTGGCCCTTGTCGTGGTTGCCATCGTTGCGGGGTGGAGCGAGAAAGGCGGCCGATTCAGGGTAGAGATGGCGATATATGGCGAGCAGCTGGGCGTGCTGTGGGCCTTCGAACGGAGTTCTGCGAGGCAGCCTCATGCTGAGGGATCGCTGACAGCTGACAAGGACGAAGAGTGCAAGAGCAAAGGTAGCCCCAGAGAGAGAGAGAGAGACAGAGAGAGACAGAGAGAGAGAGACAGAGAGAGAGAGACAGAGAGAGAGAGACAGAGAGAGAGAGAGAAGAATAGTGGTACGGAGTGCGGTCGGGTCGTTGGAGAGTCGGCGGTCGGCGGTCGGAGGGTCGAGGTGGACGGAGGTCGGACGGAACCGGAAAGGAACGGCGGACGCGAGGTACAACGT